TGTTGTGAGTGCATCTTCCATGCCTTCTGCCACACACTTCGAATATCAATAGTCGGATAATGCATCAAGCCATGATGATCGATCCAATGCCTCACATCTTCAAGAAACATCGTCCACTGATCCGTAGCGTTCATGAATACCGGATTGGAGCAACTGGACTGGGCCAACTGAGTCAAATCAGGTGGCAGGGTCAGCAACGTGGCAGAAGAAGCAATGTGACCCTGGACAACAGTCAGGTGTGGATGACGTCGAAGAAGTTCGTGGCAGCAACATGTGACACCAGCCTTTTGCGGCTCCTCATGCGGGTCCCACGACTGCAAGATTGGTTTATGCGAAACAACACATCTTCGATTTTAGGGTGACTTTTGGCAACAAGCGAGGTCGCTGGAATGTGGTACGGCAGCAGTCGATCCGTCGATACATCCAAAATATCTCCCAACATGCCACGAACCAAGCGTTTGAAGCCTACTTCAGGCAGCAAGAACGGAGTGGAAAGGGGGCGGCATGTAGTTGGGCACCTCAACTGTCGAAATTGCAGCACAGTATTCAATCTGGACCTGCAGATCGTCTCATAGAACGGGTCACCCAGATGAGTGGCCATCCTGAATAATCTGTAGAGAAAATCCGAGTCAACTCGGTTGCTGCGCAGATATTTTTGGGCAAGAAAGGACTTCAACCCGTCAGAAGCTAAATCAAACAGAATCTGATAACTGTATACGATGTTCTGAACAATGTGTGTCGAACGGAAGACCGAAGGAGTCAATCCAGTGAGCTGGAAATTCCGACGTCGAAAGCGTCGAAAAGTTCTCCACGAAGTCACAAATCTGCGAACACATCTGACTGGATCCGAGTTGGCAATCTGTGCATGTTTTGCTCTGACAAGAGAGCGAACCCAAGGAGCATTAAGGCGAGGCTGTAGCAAATTGATAAATGTCTGTTCAATTGTGTGCAAACAATCGACCTGTGGGACATGCATGATCAACAGAGGAATGGCCATGTGATAATTCTGTCGTCGATAATGCCAAAACAGCGAAAGTTCACCACACACTGACTTGCCGGCCCGGATCTGTTGGAATTTCCCCCATCTTGTACGCTCACGGTCGCCCAGTGTTTGGGATGATGATCCGACATACATGAATTTCTGTAACTCAGGCTGGAGAAAGATGCGACAATAAATCACCGACTGCGTCTGAAAGAATTTCCAGGTGTAGCTGGAGCATTTTAAACGTAGCTGAGAGGTCAATGGCGACTGTACAAGCCCGAACTCACAAGCAAGCAAAAGGAGTTTTCCACGGATCCAAATAACAATTTCCATGCACTGTCGTCCGAACATGGTAGGTGTCTCGTAGAGACCTTGGAAAAATAAATAAGCATTCCGAAGTAAATCCACTTCACTTCGGTGCCGTTTCCACCAACCTTGTGGCGGATTGCCGCTGCGATACATGTCCCTGGCATCCAGTATGGCCTGTAGTCAAGCCACAAGAATTGTTCCGGCAGCAAGAATACGGAGCAGAGAATTCGCCTTAAGCTTGGGAATATCACGGATGGGTGCGCCCCAGTTGGCAACAACCTGATCCAATTCGGCCTGTTCATTGGAAGGAAGGTCCGCATGCCATCGTTGGACATGAGCTGTCCATGTCTGGAGCTTCTGTCGATTGTTCTTGCTCAAGTTCAATCCTTCAATCCAGGTCGATACTTCTTTGTCCGACTTGCAAGCCTTCCAACTGCGACTCAAGAAGTGACGTTTGCTTGGATCCGCGAGAACAATCTTCACAACCTGTCAACATGCGATGATGTTCCATACTCAGGCTGAGGAGCAGAACTCGAATTTCCTGGGCTGCGACCCTGGGTCTCAGCTTCATCGGGCTCAACATTCAAAGGTTCTACATGATTCCCCGATGGTTTGCCTTTCTGGAATGCCTGCATGAGACTAGTTTTGGGCTCAGCCGTCTGACCACGAAGAAGGCGAGTTGCACCATCCGGAACTTTCTGAGCTGAGGGCGCGGACTCCGTCACACGTCCTGGGGGGCTTTCTTCAATCGGCAACGTTTTCTGAACTGCAACCTCTTGATTAGAAGAGCGGGAGGGGGAAGCATTCTCGAAATTCGCAAGTTGTTGTTGAAGAATCTGGATCTGATTTGCCATGGCTGCCTTCTCTGTGTCAACAGAGGCCTGAGGATACAGACCTAGCATGTAGTCAACAACCTTCTGTGCCAACAAGTGTGTGGCCTGTGACTTGGAATCCGAACCGCTGCTCTTGGAAGCGGGGTCACTGGTACCAAGCACAATAGAAGCAAGCTCATCCAAGTCGACTTCTTCATCTCTCAGCTTTCCAAACAAGGCGTGGCAAAATACAACTTCACCGATCGACTTGAAGCCTGCGAAGAAAGTCGGCTTTCCTTCGGCAATATGGCGCACCCAATACGAATTCCAACCTTGATAGAGCAACGAGTGAAGCGGTATCATATGGGTCGGACATCCATCAATCTGCTTTCGAACTGTCCAGTCAGTCTTCTTTACCCAACGAGCCAAGTTCAAGCCTGCAATACAACGGGAGTCCAAATAGTTCGGATTCTGGCAAAACTCAGCGGGCATCATCGGGCCGAAAACTCTCGGGGAGTTTGCAGCAGGTGGGGATGGGAGACCTGGAATGCGGGGGGTTGGCGAAATGTTCATAATCTGAGCAACACGTGGATTGGGTTGCCACGTGAGGTTCTGTGGCTGAAGCACTGCCGGTCTGTTCACTGGTGGGGCAGGTCGGGGTGCGGGGTGCTGCCAACTCTCAGGGGTAGGTGGGACCAAAGCAGGCAAGGAGGAGCTCCAGAAAGGGTTGCGGCGGGGGGAGCGTTCACGATCCATGGCGGGATATGAGAACAACAACTGACTGCAGAGCTCAAGCCGGAATGATCTCCAGATGCAACTCCGGAATGCGACTCCGATCTGATTTCCAGAAATGTGATTTCCACTCAGTGATCTCCACTTGAACATGTTGTGAAACGGAACTGATTTCCGGAGCTGCTAACACAAGAACCCCGGTGGGCCGGCAACTTCGCCGTATAGCGACAAGGCCCTCGTGAGGGAGCTCTTGCCGAACACAACTGGAAAGGCTTCCACTGACCCGCCTGCCTTCTGTAGATGACTTCTGTGCTGAGTGTACTTGTCAGATTGCGGCAAAAGTGCAGAAAGCGAGTGCATATGCCCTCATGAACATGACTGTTAAATGAAAACAATCGGTGGACACACCTAAAACCTGCCTCAGAAAACAGAAATCCATTTCGCTAATCTTGCTGGCTCAGGGGCCCAGCTTTTTTGCAGGTACGTCCGACTGGCCAAGTCGGATATCCCATCTGCAACCGTAGCTTCGTTGCACACGGTAGGTCGCAGATGCCGTGTGCCCCTGCAAACTTTAAAACGAAAGGAGCATGAAAACAAGAAAAATCCATGGGTCAAAGCATGTACCTACAAAGGTTTGCAAACAGAAAAACCTAAGAAAAATGGACATGTGAATGCAGGTTTGTCGCATGTACAGCAGAATAACACAAACATCTGCTTCTGCTTGAGCTGATCCTGGATGAAGCAAGCCCTAAGGTCTATATGCCTCACCTTCCTCAACCCATCAGCCTTGCTGATAGCAACAGCAGCTTCACTATCACAATCGATGTGAGGTTTGGGAAGATCCTCCCATCCAAAGACATGTGAAATGGCGCGGCGGATGGAAAGTGCCTCCTTGGCTCCTTCCACAAGCCCATACAATTCGCTCTCGGCAGAGCTCTGGGCCACAGCTTGCTGCAACCGGCTCCAGGCCAAACAGAAGCCTCAGATCAGCCCTCATAGCTCTTTCGTGTTTCTCCAAAGGGTTGGCTTGCCCTCGGGCTAGCATGCTGACATAGTAGACAACATCAACCCTGGTCATGGCTAGCCATGATAGCCTTCCAAGGGAACTGCGAAACCTAGCGGCGGCTTCGGTCGACAAGGGCTTTTCAAGACAGGGGTCTTCCTTGTCATACAACTCCTTGAGGTTCGGCGGCGTCGCGCTCGCGGTGACCTTAGAGTTCCCAAAGAAACTCTTGTAGATTTCCTCGTAGTAGGAGTCAGACATTGTAACACACGAGGAATCGCTGGAGTGTTCTCTGGTGATCTGCCTTCCCAGGAAAGTTATCTGACCGTCTCGATCGAAGTCGGCGGTCACCTTGATCTTCACAGCGGTCTTCAGCTGTTCCACCACATGGTAGATAGCCTCATCGCTTTCTCCTGAGAATTAAGATCATCAACGTAGCAAAGAACCACCACACGCTGGCCTCCAAGCACAGTTCCTGAAAACAAGCATGCTTCTGTCTCGCACGGCTCGAGGTCACAGAGTTTCTTCCGCAGCTTTGCCAGGCGGTGGCGAGACCAGGTCTGGGCTGCAACTCGTAGACAGTAGTAGAAGGCTTTCTTGAGGCGCATATATCCACGGCGACCATCTTTGCTCTTAACTCCGTCAGGCAATCGCACCACTATGGTGCCGTCGTCCTCGTCGAGGTCAGCAAAACAAGAGCGCAGTACTCACGTCCAGGCCGACGACTCTTCGACCCGGCGTCAAACAGGAAAGTTCTCTGGGCTCCTGCAGAGCTAGTGGCGGCAGAGATGCCAAGCTGGGTGGCTCCTTGCGCAAAGTCGCGAGCAAGAACCCGACACCTCACAAGCGGATTCTCCTTCCCTTCAACACGCTCAACTTTGGCATTCGAGAGCCACCTTGTCGAGATCACCTTCTGCTTGATCAACATGCCAAACAACATCACCGACAGCAAACGACGCAAGCGCACGAAGCTCACGCAACATGCCTTCATAGGTGAAGCCAACATCAAGCAGATGCCCCGTCACATCATCTTTCGCAGAAGCTGGAATTTCAACAAGCAGCTTTTCCCCCCCAAGCTCAACAACCTGAGGAGCAACGATCTGAGTGGCAGCTCCGACAAAGCAAACTGACGCACCAGCAAAAGAAATGGACTCTCGGTACATCACACTCGACATAAGAGCGTCTCGCTCTCCCACTGGGAGGGCTTCAAGAGGTTCTGCTTCCACTTGCATAAAATCAAGCTCGCCTGGGCCCGGTGGCTCCACAGGAGCTGACTCATCTTCCGCCCCCACCTCGTTCTCGATTCCGGGCAGGCTCGGCTCGTAATCAGCCAGATCCTCATCCAATGGAAAATTCGGAAACGGATCAAGATCGTCGGGCAGCTCCAGGCCGAGATCATCATTGAAACCTTCACCGATATCCCCACGTCCTGCTTCTTCTTCTTCGCTTGATCGAGAATCGTCCGGCTTGGATCGAAAGACTTCCGAACAAACTCTGCATAGCGCTCTCTACACTTTTGTGTGTGCCAGACTTTACCTGCAGGCATGCCACGAAGCCGGCAAGCCGACACCTGGGCGTTCTTCCGTTTTCTGCGATCCATTCTGAGGTGGCCCTCTGGTGGCTCTGTTCGGCGACGGCAGGTCGCGGATGTTCTCTTCCTCGGCTGCAGGCAGCCTCTTCAGAGCATCGTCGCTCCTTCCTGGCAACATCCGGCACACACCTCGCAAGCTCGACACCTAGGGATCAACATCCTGATGCGAGCGCTGCGGGCTATCTTCAGAGAGCCGTCTCGCAACCGACATTGCAGAATGTGGCTTCCACTGCCGACTCCCGGGCCGAGATGAGACGCATGGCCGTGGCTTCCAGTGACCTTCTGGGGAGGCCCCTGTGGCGCACACGTTTCCGAAGCGTTTTTCGGCCTCGAACATGAGCCCGTCAAATCCGTCAAAATGAAGGTCGAGACAAGGTCCAGGATATTCGGGAGGCTCCCACATGAGTTTGCCCTGTGCAGCCTACAAGTTCGGTTTGCTCTCCGGCTCTTTGTTGTGTCTCAGTCATTGTGTGGAACCCCATCCGCAAAAAATGCTAAACCCAACACACAACATCAAACGCGCGGTTTAAACCAAAACACGCGGGTTGCTGTTATTGAAGAAATCCCTGAATCCCTCATGTCGGAACATGGCAGTTTGCTGAGTGTACATGAGCGAGGTTTTGATTGTGAAGTGATTCGCCTGCTGCCGCTATCAAAGACAAGGCTACGTGAACACAGTCTTGGGCCATGCAGCATGTCACAGTGTATACTTTTTACCACAAGGCCGGTAAGTGCCATTACGAAGCAGTCTAATCTGACAGGTGCTGTAAGCACGTCTGCAGAGGACACAAGGAGTCATCGTTTGTGGTGCGTGAAAACCAGTAAGAGCGACCGCTTGATTGCCATGCGTGTGCTGTAAGAGCTGTCTGGCGTATACAGGAAAAGCCATTGTTTTTGGCTTTTTGAGGTTATGAGCGCCCAAGATGCTACCGCTGGGCAAGTGAATGGCGCAGCTCCGGCAGTGCCAAAGGTGGTGCCGATGGAAGAGCCTCCAAGAGGATCTGGTGAGGGTCCCAGAGAGCAAGCGCCTGCAGATGATACGACGGCAGCGGGGACTGTACCGTTGCCCTTTGTCAGTCACACGGACCAGATGAACGCAGAGGTGAGAAGTGCTCAGCCTTCTGCGCGGCCGGAGCAGAGTGTGAGACCTACTGAAGAAGTGCATCAACAAGGTGCGGATGGTGGTATTGGTGGCGTTGCGGGGCTACAGACTGGCACACAAATCGGTCCACAATGGGCCGCGAGTGCAGTGATGCAGCCGCAGCCTACTGAAGAACAGCCGGGGCATCTGGATGCAGATTTTCAGCGTGATGATGTTGATGGTGGAGGTTTTCAGACTCCACGGTCACGACGATCAACGGGACCAGCCTTTGGATCTGCGAGGAATTCTGGGGGTTTGGGTCCTGGATGGCCAGGCTGGGTGACCAGGCTTGGCGAGTTATTCAAGCAGCCACCGATTCCACCGGAGTGGCTGCCGAGTCCGATTCCTTCGCCACCTCGACCTCCTGGAGCGCTTTTACATCGAAGGAACCTTTTTGTGGAAGAGCGCTCAGGCGGAACTCGCGGAGGATTGCTACGAGGACCCAGCAGCTCAGCAAGGCCACCCACTCCGAGTAGTAGCAGTGTTCCAGCTGAAGCTATTCAAGCGGAAGTGCAAAGGCAATTGGGGTCTTTGTTGGAGCGACTAAGTGAAGTAGAAGGAGAAAATCAGCGACTTCAGGGAGAACTTCACCATGAAAGGATGAGACATCGAGAAGATCCTCCGCTTCCTCGTGGACCTTTTGCAGCGCCAGAAAGTGATCCTGATCTCCGAAGGCCAGGTGTTGGTGTTGGAGTTCGGGATGCTGGGGAAGAAGTTCAAGTACCTGTTCAAAGGAGTGATCCTTGGAGTTCGTTGTGGGAAGGGATCTCTGGAAAGCTGGGAGGGGCGCCTAAGTCAGCTGCAGAAACCAAGCCGAGACAGCCAACGCCTCCTAGAACGACAGCAGAGACTACCTACCCAAGAGAGACACGGGCTCTTCCAGAGCCCCCTTCGGCATCATCCTCGTTGGTGATTGAGGCCCTGGCACAAAGCATGAAGCAGTTGCAGGATATTCAGCTACGAAACCTGCAAAGGACAGACGGTGATGATGAAGCCCCTGAGACAGTCAAAACGTCTATGATGAGTTTGCCAGAGCTTGCCGCGCCGGAGGGTGAGATGAGTGGTTTGAAGTTTCAAGACTGGGTGGTGCAAGTTACAACAGCAATGCAAGACTTGTCCATGAGTTCAGGAAAGTGGTGGGAGATCGTGAAGAAGGCGGTCATGGACTCTTATGCTACGTGGCTAGCTGCCACGCCTCTAGAACGACTTCAAGTGCAACCCCAAGGAGCTGTAGAGATGGCAGCGGGGAAGTGGGTGCGAGTAAACGCCCGCGCTTGTGCATTGCTGATGCAGTCGTTAAGTGAGGTGGTGAAAGCAGACCTTATCGCCCGAAGAGCTTCCCAATCCACAGTCTTGCTCTTATTCAGGCTGTTTACACTGTATCAACCAGGAGGAGCCGGGGAAAGAAGCAGTGTGCTAAAGCATCTTCAGTGTGAGGCCAGTCCAAAGGACGTGCATGAAAGTTTGAAGTTGTTGAGAAGTTGGCCGCGCTGGTTGCAAAGATGTAGAGATATGTCCATGGCGATCCCGGATGGCTCTATCCTTGCAAGAGGGCTGTCGAACATGGCAATGAAAGGTGTAGAAGAAAGCCCTGATGCTGTGTTCAGGACTCAGATGATGAGATCGTCGCTGCGTATCGACGCTAGGCCCAGCATCGAGGACATCATAAAGTACCACCAGCACCTGCAAGCCGAGGTGGAGAACATTGTGGCATCGAGGCCGGTGTCTTCGGATGGGACGGTTGCTTTAAGGGCAATGACTACCACAGGGGGTTCCCCATCTCCTACAAGTTCGGGATCAGCTGTAGCAGCAAAGGGAGGAAAGGCACCCTGCAAATATTTTCTGAAGGCTGGAGGGTGTCGACGCGGAGCCAAGTGTCCCTTTGTGCACTCCTTTGAAGGGATATCCAGACAAGAAAAATCCCGAAGATGTTTGACTTGTGGAGCAGAAGGACACCGACAAAAAGACTGCCCAACTAAGCAACCTCCCTCTCAACAACTACGAGGCAGTGAGACTTCAAGCACTACATCGCCTAAAGCAGCCCCAGGAGTCAACAAAGTTCATCTAGAGCCAGAAGGAGAAGTTTCCCCTGTAGCCGCAGCTGATGGAGTGCTTCATGGGCAACCGGTGCTTTCATGGGAGGCGCTTTTGCAGGCAGCAGCGAAAGTTGCGGCCGCCTCACCAGCTGAGCCGAAAGCCCCAACGATGAAAGTGCTATCCCTGAGCCCTCCCAGAGCAGAAGCAGTGGATGGGTCGCATGTGTTCGCGCTCGTGGACTCAGGTGCAACGCATCCTCTTCGACGAGCCAAAACGGAGGAAGAATGGCGAGCGGGCGACAGGGTTACCGTGAACTTAGCAGGTGGAGAAACCGTTGAGCTCAGGATGAATGAAGCGGGGACATTGCTGGTTCCGTGTGCTGGAGCGCCGAGGTCCAGTTCTTCAGCCCCAATTGTTCCACTGGGATCTCTTGTGGGGATGTTGGGCTATCGACTAGAATGGTCGGGGAGTCGGTGCATGCTGACTAGTCGAGAAGGTGACGTTCTTAAACTACGAGTTCGGGATGGTTGTCCGGAAATCACGGAGAGTCAGGCTCTGGACCTTATTGCCAAGATTGAAGAAAAGAAGTTGGCGTCGCTGAAGACGGCTACGGGCGAAACCAGAGCGAAAGTGAGGGAGGCAGCAATCTCGATGCAGAAAACATGGTTCGATCACCTGTTGTCGTACTGTGACAGTGGACTGGGTTCTGATGCAGTGAAGGCCATACGAGAAGCTCCGTTCTTTGAAGGTGTTCCACCAGAAGCGCTGTATGGACTTGCAGAGGCAGTTCCGTGTTCGAATGGTTGGGACGCACTGAAGGGACTGAAGCATCTCAACAGGCGGACTCGAAAGCGACTGTGGAGTTCAAATCAATGGGTCTTGCACCTCTATGCAGGAAAGACCGCTAACCAGGAGATCCTTTTCCTAGAGCGTCAGGGATTCACGGTGCTGGAGTTGGATTTGGAAAGAGGCAAGTCGCATGATGTTTGGGACCCTTTGGTTTGGAGAGCATTGGAGTGGGGTGCGCGGTCAGGAAAGATAGCTTCTTTATTTCCAACGAAGGTGGTATATCACAAAAGGAGGAATCCAGTCAAATATAATTCCATATAATAAAAGTCGTGGCTCAAGCACTCGGTCGAACCCTCTCTCTTTTCGCGCAAGCGGGGTATGTCTGGTGAGAGTCAACATGCATCGTGAAGCAGAAAGGGTGCACACACCCATCACAACACATACAACATGTGCCAATGCACATGAAGATGAACGGCAATCCGTCATCTCTCACCCACCCCGGGCGGGCGGGCGGGACAAAAATCGTTCTCACGGCTGCATACAGCCCAAATGCTACAGAGAACGCGGATTCGCAACAGCAAAACATGTTGTGCAAAGCGGTGCAATCACACAAAAGGTGCACAATAGAAATCGCACATGGCAAAATCGCAGCACTGCAAATCAGAAAATCGTTTGGGAAATAAAATGCTGTCTCGCAAGCGAGAAGGCTTATTTATTTCCAACGAAGGTGGTATATCACAAAAGGAGGAATCCAGTCAAATATAATTCCATATAATAAAAGTCGTGGCTCAAGCACTCGGTCGAACCCTCTCTCTTTTCGCGCAAGCGGGGTATGTCTGGTGAGAGTCAACATGCATCGTGAAGCAGAAAGGGTGCACACACCCATCACAACACATACAACATGTGCCAATGCACATGAAGATGAACGGCAATCCGTCATCTCTCACCCACCCCTCTTCAAGAGAGATGTTAGGAAAGAGTTATGACTTGTTGCACGATATCCCGGTATGTGGCAGCGACTGAGGACGCATCGGCAACTCGGTCCTGTGGCAAAAGTTCGCAAGCAATGCTACGACTCGGTGCATCTGCAATGTTGCTGCTCGATGGCACACGTGCACACCAGGGCAGAAGGGTACTCTGTTCACAAGTCCTGGCAAAGACATGACAAACTCTGGTGACGGCCCACGAAGCTGAGTAACCCTTTATCAGAGCAAAGCGCGCACCCTCATTGTCAAGGTATGCCATCTGAAGACGCGAGGTGCTGGCTCCAAAGCATGAAGGCCACCACCACTGCAACAGTTTCCAGCTCGCCGATACCCGTGATGGCATCCACTGGAGTCAAAGGGCGAATATCGCTCTCGCTTAAGGGCAGTCCAAACCAACTAACAACCGAACCCAAAGGAGAGATTAGAACGCCCCCTAGACCCCCGGTGAAGTCAGGCTCAAAGCTTGCATCTGTGAAGACAAACCAAGGCTGCCCCAAGGATCTGGTGATGCGCCTCGGGGACCCATGCAACACACGATCAAGTAGAAAACTAAGAGCTTCCCGAGCGGGATCGGATAGCTTGGGAACAAAAGGCCAGGCATGAACATGGGAACTGATGTGCTTGAGAGCGTAATGCCCCGCTTTCCCCATGACTTGAGAATTCGCAAAGGAGAGCTTGCCTCTCAGCTCAAGACCTTCTTTGTAAGGCAACACACCTTCATCAAGGATGCGGGTCACAAGAGCACGAATGTCGCCTTTACGTTTCTCCGTGTTGTCAACAGTGACCACGCAGTCGCCGGTATTCTCCAAGTCAAAGCGATCCCAGCGCAGACACTTGCCTGGAAAACACATCAGCCTTGGGCCCCTCCATGTCGAAGACCCAACCAAGGAGTTGGAACAGCAGTTCCATTGTTGCACCCGTGTTGTCGGCAAGACAATCGGGTGAGGCGACAATGAAATCATCATAGTAAGAGGTAGTGGGCACAAGCAAGCAACGATTGGCAAGCCATTGGATGCACCTGGAACACCTGATGAAGCCATTCACTGAAGCCCGCGATCCAAAGGGGAGGCATACCTGAGTGAATAGCATGGTCTTTTGCTTGTGTGGGTCATATACCGCAATGACAGCAAAGCGGCGCGAGCTCAAGGCTACGCACAATTGGCGGTAAGCGGCCGTCAAGTCGAAGGCACGACCCTTGATCCATGAGGGTTTCTTAGAATCGCGAAGCTTCGTGCACAACCTGACGAACATAGCAGCTGCCACATCTGCAGTATCCACAGTGGGCTGTTCCAAAGTCGTCACACAAGAGTTTACACCGCTCCTGCTGTAGTCGTCGATGGGACGCAGCTTTCCACTCTGCAGCAGAGGGAATCTGTGGGATACAACATGCTCCTGCGGCAAAGAGTCCCATTCGAAAGGTCCCAGGAGCCAGCCTGAGTCAACCTCTTTCATCGTCTTTTCCCACAACAAGATGTCCTTCTCCCTATCACCGGAGGAGCCCAAGGAGACCTTGAGCGCCTCATTGGCCCGAGGGGCTGCAGCACACAGGTCATCGGGATGCAATGAGGCCGGAGTAACCTTTCCCGGCAGAACATTGGACACAGGCGAAGTACCCACTAAGTCGAAGCCCGACCAGATATCCCTAGCAAGGTTTACATCATCATAGCCCTCGGCGGCAATGATTTCGTCAAGCAGCTGCAGACGCTTTTTGCAAAGGACACGTTTCATGTGCGGGTCATCGATGTCCCACGAAGGATCTGGGTCACGTTCAATTTCACACGCCCGTGTGGTCCACTTGTCAAGCCATCTCCTCCTCTTGTCTACCACAGCATGTGGCGGAGCCTTAGCAAGCATATCCACGCACGACTCAAGGTGGTCCGGCAGTGAGGAAAGTGAAGAGCTGGGATGCCCTGCTCGCACAGCAGCGCGCACGAACTCACTCTCATCAAAGGGAACCCCAAAGGTTGCATGATGAGTCTGCTGCACAGGCCCGGCTACAGGCTCAGTATCCCCACTCTTGCACGGCTGGTCAGGAGGGCACGTTGCCGCCGAACAGGTGACCAAAGTCGGCTGCACAGGCATGGCCACAGGATCAGTTTCCCCACTCTCGGTCTGGTGATCCGGGGGGCACGTCGTTGTTGCACAAGAGACCGGCGTAGGGTGGCCAGGCAAAGGAAAACCTAAGTCCCGTAAGACTCGCACATCATCCTTCTTTAGAGAACCGACCCGATTGGGTGTGAATCCGATCAACACGACTCTAGAGCCCTCCCAAGGCAAAGTGCAGTGAAAGCAATGTGGGTTGTCGCACACTTGCAGGACACGACCAGTAGCCTTTCCAAGGGGCGTGGCCCTTACATGCTGACCCTCATCATCCTGTACCCAAATGCCCCCTTTAGCAAAGTCTGCCAAGGCCATCACATAGTTGGAACTCCCATCCAAGTTATTGGCATCCCGATGCATCGGAGTGCACACATTGGAGTATATTGCCACCGTGGCGAACGTGGCGTGAGGAAAGCGGGAACGCAAGAGCCTCACAGCTAACCGAACGGCATTCGGAAAAAGCTTGGTGTTCTTTCGTAAGCCACACAAAGTACCCTGGGAGTAGGCACCAGCAGACCAGGCCTTCTCCCGCGCGTCCTTGACACCCCTTGCTGGAGTTTCTGCTGGTAACATGTCGAAAACCTGCAGCAGCTGTGCTTGCGTAGGAGTGTCGCACAAGTCCGCCGCTAGCGCTTCAGCTTCACTGGTCACGGTCATCGCGGCAGCCCTGCTACCTGGGTCAGGCAAAGCTAAACCAAAAGGAGAAGGCGAGCCATCCACTAAACCCAAAGGGGGAGGAGGAACAGGCAGGGACACCCTAGGGCCTAGGGGGGGACGTCGCCATCCTGTCATCTGCAATTGCAGCCGCGGGAGGGCTCTCACCAGCGGCCAACAGTGTCTCGGAAGATTTGTCACCGCTGACTGGCAGACACACCCCCTTCACAGACTCAGCAGCGGTGAAGTAAAGAGGGGGGAGCAGCTTGGCTCCAGCAGGCACAACCACATCATGCACACGCAAGGGCTGAAGAAGCCGGCGCTTGTTATCCAATATGGGCACTGCACTCAAGGTCACACGAACGAAGTATTTGAACTCTGGCACTGGCGCAAGCAGAGGCTTGCGAGGCTGCTTACCTGTGCCAACCTGAGCTGCAAACAAAGGTGGTAAGCTTGAAGCATCTACATCAAGGTGTTCAAGCATGACGAGGGCCAAAGCCCGATACATGCGTCCCATAGCTGCCTCCAAGCTGGCTTTGACAAGCGGAGGCTGCACCACAGGCGGGGAAATGGCAGACAGAACTCGAGGGCACGAGGATGCAAACTTGATGCGACCCCGTGCACCGGGGGCGTAGCGGCTCAAGTCGACCTCAACAGCAGAAGAAGACACCTCAAGACCCAGCGAAGTCTTCCAAAAGGGCGAGCGCGAGGGCGCTTCGATGGTCCACATGGTATCCGTATCAGCACAGTGCTTGATGAGCTGAGCAAAAATGTAAATGCACCTTGCCACTTCACACTGGATATCACCTGAATTCGAAAGTTTGTTATGAAAGACGGAGGTAGGACAGCGGATGTGGATCCAAGCACAAGTGGGCTCGCGAACCCAGGATGCACACAATGCAAAACCTCCGGGGGACAAAATGTCAATGGGAACTACAGGCGCCGCGGAAGCTTGAGAGCACCCTCTGCCAATCGCAAAAGAGCTGGGTAACACCGTTCGGAGACAACCACACAAGCTGGCACGCCTAGCAAAAATTTCGATACAGAAAATTCTATCACGCTCTCGAAGCGCGAGGTCCTTAACCGGCTTCGCTAAGTGCACGGACGATCCCTGACACTCGGGCACTGCACATGCAATCACATCGCCCGTGCACGTCCCCTGTCACTCTGAACTCTGCGAAGAGTCATGCTCGCTCATGGGATGCGGCTTGTAACACCCAGGCTTGCAACACACATGCTTAAACTTGCATTTGGCTCCGGCCTTGCACTTGCCCAAGTTGAAGTTGAAGCAGATCGGTTTGTTGTCTGGTGTTCTCGAGTGCATACCCTTGAGAACTTCGGGAATCGGGTCGCGCGTGATCTTGGCTTTCTTGTTCGGGCTCTCACCATCATTTGTGGTCTTCGTGCGTTTACGACCCTTACCATCCTTATCAGCCTTGCCTCCTCCCCTGCCCCGGCCTTTCACAGGCAACAAGAAGTACATCACAGTAGTGTTGAACTCAAGCCTCTCAAACTCCTTATCTAAGGGGAGGGACCCATCAGGACCAGGTTTCAAGTTTCCATTGCACACACGAGCAAGCTCCAGGAAACACTGCCGGTCAGCTCGCAGCACTTGCGCACGGGAGACACGCTGAAACTCGGGAGGTGGGTCCTGGCTCATGATGCGGAAAAGGCGCTCATTCCACTTCTGCACACAAGCATAAGATGCGAGGCCCACTAAGTCCATAGCTAAGGCACGCCTCATCATTGCTTGATACAGGGACAGGTCGCTATCAAGAGAGATGGCAGCCGTTGCCTCTTCATCTTTCAACACTAACCCCGTCTTACTTGCATCAAGGTGCAAGGCTTTGGGAAGCTTCTCACAACAAAGCTCCTCATCACGAGTGATGCACTCATTGGGGGCCAGATACTTCAATTCATCATTCTCACGCATGGTTGCTAACCTGTCATACACACAATGAGCGACTGCGAGAGGGCCCTCCAGTGGCAATCCTGACAGACGACGCTTCTGAGCATCAATGCGCATGGAACGCTCCGACGCCGGCAGTTTCCTTGGCACCTCGTCTGTAGCCTGCATCGAAGATCTCAGCTCAGCCACAGTCATGGTCTGAGATTCAAAGATGAGCTGCTTCAAAGCGGAGCTGTCCCCTAAGGTGATTCTGGCTCCCGGCCGGAGGGTCAAGATGAAAGCATCCATGTCATCACTCGAAGGTTGATTCCCCGGAAGCGTCACAGCATAGCTAAGTTTCCCTAAGGTCGTGATCCCTGATTCTTTCAAGGCGGTGACCCACGGGGCTGTCAAGCCTGCACGCTCGCACTGCCTGTCGAGGGCAGCTGTGGAGGTTAAGAGCGAAAGCGCAGCCATGCCGACTAAAGAGCACAAGCTCAGCGAACTACAAAATACCAACCTCCGTGATTGACACACATGCAAGTCGAAGAGCACCTAACATGTGAGGTACAGTCCAATTAGGAGTAGCATGTAGTGTCGCATGCATGTTCATGTCTCCCTCAGCCAGAGCGCACTCGCAAAAGACATGAACACACAACCAGGGCACTCCCTGGGATGCGCACCCGCAACACACAATGCCATCTACTGCATTCAGGACCTGAGCAATCTCCACTGAAACTCCAGAGCTGCGCACGGCAGAAGGCACTCCAACTATGCACCACGGAATTTTCACGCACCGTCATTACGGTTCATAAGCTCATCAAGCCGCTCATTGAGGGCACGAGTGGAATCTAGCAATTCTCCTTTCCAACAGACTGCACACCTAGGCCACCGGAAAAAGGCTCCCTCTAGCCACCTGTACACATTGGCCGTGCGTCTCCCACACTTCGTTCTGCACGCTGCCTGCCCGCCTTGCGGGCGATGAAGCATCCTCGACTTGATGTGTTGCCAGCATGGCTCATTGATCTCAAACGGTTGGCTTACACCACTCGCTGTGATAGTTTGCTCTTCCGTCTCACTGGCCTCTGAAGAACATGAGCTCGAAGACGAAGAGGATGAACTTGAGCCACAGCCCTCCAGTGTCGTGTCCCGCGCACTGTCCCCAAACAATTCAGGAAAGAGCGCCTCACTCCCAGATTCGAGTCCCTGCTCCCCAGCATCGGGCATAGGTTGCTCAACATGATCCCAGGAGCCATCATCACGACCTAGCTCGCTTGGCCGTGAGGAATCCGGTAAGTCTGGAGGCAAATTGTTCGCATAATAATGTTCAAGCTCTCCTGGTACTTCTGTCTGATGCCCCACATCAACTGGCTCATGCCCTAGCTGTGCACCAAGGCCGAAGGCACCGCCTGAGCTCCCAAGTTGAACACTTGCAAATTCCCCAAAAGTGGGTAGAAGAGGATCCTTTGAGAGCCATCCCGATCGGGTACTATCTGGCCTGAAGACGTTCGTCCTGATTTCGGCAAGCATAGCCCTGTATGCGCGGAGGGGCGCGCTCAACAATTCCCGACTGTAGCATGCCAACGAGCCTGAGCCCGGAGCATGGTGACCAAGAAGAAGGCTATCCCGCTCTCCGAAGCCTCGCTTGCCCACCCAAGCTAGAGTCGTACCCTTCAAGACATGCGACGTACGCCTCTGGTCTCCATCCAGGTCCAAGGCATTGCACAACATCACACCGGCTTCGCTTGAAGTGCACCGTCTCTTGCACAGCTGGCCCTCGGCATCTGGGGCACGGACCAGAGGCCCAAAGGGCTCTGCATCCCACTGCACACCGAGACGCAGCCCGGCATTCCACCAGGCTTTCACCCAGTTGGCATCAGTGACCCGGGGAAACGGGGCCACCAGAGGCATCGCACGCCTCTTCGTCTTGACTGTATTGCTGGTCTTGTGATCACGGGTCCTCGCTTCTACAAATCCAGACTGCTGGTCGTCGCTCTCAAAGTCCACCCATATACACATGAGATTTCTAAGATCGGACCACCTCGAGCGGCTTTTCAGACAGAAGACAATCCCACCCAGCACATAAGTGTCTGCATCACACAAAGAGTTGCTGGCCACAAGCTTCTCCAGTTTTGCAACACACTCCACGGTGAGAGGATCCTGCTGTTTCACCTCTGCTCGTTCGCCCTCAAGCCTCTTGGCACGGCCCTGCAACCTGCGGTCCTCAAGGATCTCTTTGCAAAACGGCATGCCCATAACATGATGTGCAAAGTTCACAGCTTCAAAGAGGCCTGCCACTGCACTTGCACCAACCCCAAGGGATTTTACAAAGTCGGTAAATGAGCCACAGTCCCAGGGCCAGGCGGCCTGCCTTTCTCTAAGATGCCACCTCAAGCACCTAAGCAAAGAATTGGCACGCTTGATCGCAGTCCTAGGGGATTTAATGCCGAAGACATCCCGAATTAATTCGTCCCTGGCCGACTGACCCTCTGCAATCAAGCACTGAGCAGCCTGCTCACCGACCTGCCCAGGGTCACTCTGAGCCAAGCTAAAAATGCAACCCCACTTGTTGATCGCTAAGACCCAAAGGTGTTCGTCCTCAGCTTGGGTAGAGATATCGGCCCTCGCAGAAAAGGATTTCTCGAAGAGTGTGCACGGGGCAGACCTGACACGTATGCACGGCGCCTCCTCAGGGGCTGGGTCTGCAGAATCCTCTAATGCCGGAGGGCAAGGTTGCCGCAAGACGGGATGCTCTAAAGTGCCATTGCCGAAAATGCACGACATAACCCCAGACTCCCAGGGGAGCCTGGGCAAAGTGTCCACGATGCCACTGGTGCGCGCATGCAGCAACAAGCGGTCGATGTCTGCATCATCGATAACACTGTCGTGTGACATGATGAAAGAGGCTAAGCGGACACACCCCCTTGGAAGCTAGCCAGGCAGGGAGTTTAATCAGACACAAGATGTCGGAAGGCCTGCTGGGCTCTCTGCAGCCACTGCTCGATCCAGGTAAGGCGCACTGCGGATTGGCGGTGCGATGCCTGCAACTCCTGAACCTGTTCTTGCAACAGAAGCAGCTGAGCTCGCAAGGTGTTAACTTCCAACTGAAGATCCCAGAGGTGCTGAGACAGCACCTCGTAATCACTGGTGCTAGTAGCACCACTGGAAGCGGAGCCCGCCTCTTCCATCTGCCGCCCTCCCAGTGGAGGGGGCGTGCACGGGCTCCTAGGGAGCAGCCTTGTGATAGCACCCGGAACCTGTTAGATGCAGTACAGGTCTCTAGTGGGGCTCACAAAAATCGTTCTCACGGCTACATACAGCCCAAATGCTACAGAGAACGCGGATTCGCAACAGCAAAACATGTTGTGCAAAGCGGTGCAATCACACAAAAGGTGCACAATAGAAATCGCACATGGCAAAATCGCAGCACTGCAAATCAGAAAATCGTTTGGGAAATAAAATGCTGTCTCGCAAGCGAGAAGGCTTATATCATTGGAGGGCCCTCACAAGGCACGTTTATGTTGAAGCGATCAATGACCCCTGGACCAGAAGCACTTCGCAGCAATGACTTTGTATACGGCGGGTGGCCCGGACAATCGGAGAAGGACAAGAACTTGGTCAACCGTCACACGGGTATGTACGCTAAGATGCTGTACTTGCATTCCCTGGCTACGGCTGGAAGGTGCAAGTGGCCGGCTGAACCAAGCGATGTAAAGGAAGTTGGTTTGATGATTGAGCAGCCGAGTGACCCTAGATCCTACCTCAACTACAACCACCCCTTGGCTCAGGACTCTGTGAGTTTTTGGAGGACGCCTATGTGGGAGATCTATGCGGAGGAGGCGGGGCTGGCTACGTATTCGTTTGACATGTCTTCCTTGGGAAAGGCGCTGGAGAGGTATACCACAATTGGTACCAGCCTTCCGCTTCGTCATCTAGATGGATTAAAAGGTCGAGTTCAAGATGATCCTTTTCCCCCAGAAAGGGCTTCACCGTCAGTTTGGTCAAGGGAGTTCTCAGAGGTCGTAGCTATTGCAGTGAGATCCCAGCGGCTGGCGCCACGGATGTTGAGAATGTCAACGGAGCAATGGAAAGAGCACGTGAGAAAAGGCCATCTACCTTATCGGGCAGATTGTACAACATGCGTGACGGCAGGGGCTACGGGTAGACGGCATGCTCGTGTAGAACATCCCAGTTGCTTCGTGATGTCAGCAGATGTTAGTGGTCCACTCAAGGTCCCGGGGATTGATGCAGATGCACGTGGAGCTTTTCCCAGACCACACAAGTATATGTTCATTGCCAAGGTTCGAATCCCCAAGACGTTCGTGGATGATGGACGTGGAGTTGGCTTGGACTACGATCCCGGCGAAATTCAAGAGGACCTCCCACCAGGTGAAGACGCTTTTGATTATGAAGGTCCCTCAGAACGTGAAGGGGCTCCTTCACCCGATGGTGATGGTGAAGGAATCCAGGAGGAGGATGTTGAGGAGTCAGACGAGCCTGGTGAAGGGCGGAAGCGTCGAGGAGATGATGATGTTGATGTAGCAGCGCCAGAGCTCGTCAACCTGATTTTTGCTTCCGGACTGCAGGACAACAAGGGATCCACGGTTTTAGAAGCAGTACAAGACGTTGTGTTGTATTGTGCCGCGCTCAACATTCCGATTGTGAGATTTCATTGTGATCGTGGAATGGAGTTCTATGCCAAGTCCACCAGGCAATGGATAAAGAATCAGGGAATACGGTTCACTACTAGCGAAGGTGGACTACATCAGCAAAATGGCGCGGTCGAGAATGCGGTGAAGTATGTGAAGCAGAGGGCAAGGACCCTCCTGATAGGAGCCAAGCTGCCGCAGAAGCTTTGGCCACAAGCTGTGGCAATGGCTACAGCTTCTCAGCGCGCCACTGTGCTGGGCATGGAAACCAAACTTGTGGCTCCGTTCGGGACGAAGGTTTTGGTTCGACGACGAGAATATGGTGGAAGCGCGGAGCCTGGGAAGCCTGATGATCTGAGTCCGCGGTGGATAGAAGGCTTCTATGTGGGACTGTCGGATACCCTTCGCCGAGGTCATGTTGTGTATGTGTCCAATGAGGATGGGGAGAAGTTCATACACACCGTACATGTTCGGGCTCATGTGGTGGATCCTGGTCTACCTGAAGGTGAAGTGGAAGCTGATCTCCCGGGACCTCCGAGCAGAAGGGTCTCAGAAAAGACTCGTGGCAGTGGGGATGTGGTCTCAATTTCCAAATCCAGCCCGGTGTTTGGAGATGAAAACCTTAAGAACGAGATCAACCGCGTGTTGGAACACTGGGATGAGGAGGAGGCACACAACCCGGCAGTTCAAGTAGCCTTGAGTCTAGGCGAAGGAGATCGAAAGTTTGGAGTGTTTCGTCATGGAGGCTCTGTTGGTCTTACCAAGGTCACGTATGACAAGCCTTGGGGAGCGGAGCTGTTGGTGAGATTGATGCGAGAAAGGAGTCCAGAGGCAGAGTTTTCGGCGTTGTATGTGTCAGTCAACACCACCAGGGAAGTTCACATCGATGTCAACAACCTTGTTGGGAAGGACAATTTCGTATATCCTTTGGTGTTGCCCCGTCGAGGAGGAGATCTGTGGATTGAGCTTGGAGACGGTGACGTGGTACGAGGCAAGGTGATTGAGATGATCGATCATAAAGGGTCTCCTTGCTATGGGTGTGTTCAGCCGCTGATTGAAAGGAAGCCTTTTGCCTTTAACCCACATCGAAGGCATGCAGTGATGCCATGGAAAGGCTTAAGAGTTGTGCTGATTGGCTACACTCCAGGAGTTCCGCAGAACCTCAAGGGCCCCGAGCGTCAAATCCTGCCGGAGTTAGGGTTTCCAGTACCTGCTGACTTGTATGACCAAGAACCCACAGTTGCCTTGAGAGCCTTGTCGGTGACCAAGTTTGACAAGGAGAAGGTGATAGAGTTTGAGGAGGAGGATGGTGAGAGCTATGGGAACTTAGAGGAAATTCCTACGTCTAGTGGAGAACCACTGTTTGTCCCAGGCCCAGATCTACCTCAAGGTCTTCCACGAAGTGATGAAGGCGAGCCGCAACAGGTTGAGCAGGAGGAGTGGAGTTTGTGGGATATGTTTATTCCTTTAGGAGATGGCGATCCAGATCGTGTTCCCAAGGCGATGATTGCGTCATGCGATGGGCATCCTCAGCTGTGTAAGAATGAAGTTGTGTACACCAAGAATGTTGAGTCGTTGCTGAGCTCACTTACGGGGCCGTTGGACATCGTGCATACAGTAGACCCAGCAGAGGCACTGGAATGCATTGAGCACTGGTTGCCAGCCATAGGCAAAGAGATGGGTTCGTTTGAGCCAGCAGCGCTGAAAAGGAAGATGTCAGACCCGGCAGTTCAAAAGGATTTGCGAACTGGAGCTGCTCGATTGGTGCCGATGAAGATCGTTTACACAGCAAAGCCTCCCACCGAGGTAGAGATTGAAAACGAAGAATGGTTTCGGCGAAAGGCGAGGATCGTTGCTTGTGGCAATATGATGCAAGAGAGCGGACAGGAAACCTTTGCACCTACTGCCCCTGCTGAGATCGTCAGGAGCTCACTCGCTATATCCAGCCAAGAAGGCTGGGATGCAGCGATCCTGGACATCACGAGCGCCTTCCTTCTGACTCCAATCAGTGCAGAGAAGTGCGGCTACAGAGTCATAGGCCAGCCACCCCGGGCTCTCGTCCGAGCCGGGCTCTGTGAGCCCGATGAAGTTTGGGAATTCACAAGAGCAGTCTACGGACTAAGAGAATCCCCGAAGTGGTGGGGGGACTATAGAGATGAAGAAGTTGCTCGCTTAGTCATCGAGCTTGACGGCCAGCGTATTGAGCTGATGAGGTGTCGTGTTGAAACCAGCTGGTGGAAAGTGGTTCAAGGAGCAACTTTGATAGGGCTGTTGGTGATCTATGTCGACGATATCCTTATATGTGCGCTGCCTCCAGTGATCAAGGCGGTGGCGAAGGCAATACAGGCATTGTGGCGTACGAGTGCACTGGCATTTGCTTCAGAAGGTCGCATTAGATTCTTGGGCATTGAAATCGAGAAGATACCTGATGGGTTTGCGCTGAGCCAGCAGTCGTATATTGCCGAGCTTGTCAGGACCCATGGAGTGAAAGAAACCCAAAGGGATTTGATTCCCGTGAGCCGCGACCTAGCAAGGTTTGAGTCAAGTCCAGATGAGGCAGTGTTTTCTACCGAAGACCTTAGGGAAGCTCAGCGCTATGCGGGAGAGATTTTGTGGATGGCCCAGAGAACTCGCCCGGATATATCTTACACAGCATCCCTGGTCGCTTCCCTAAGTTCAAGAGCACCCCGGAGGGCATCGATGATCACTAGAAAGGCCATTGGTTTTTTGCAAAGAACTGCCGAGTATCAGCTTGTGATCCAGTCAGAGGGGAGCCAGTTAACTTCGTGGAGCGATGCGAGTTATGCCCCAGAAGGAACGAGATCCCACACCGGGATTTTGATCGAGTTGGGATCAGCACCTCTGGCATGGAAATCGTCAAGGCAAACGCTAGTAACGTTGTCTACAGCTGAGGCGGAGCTGGTGTCAGTTACCGAGGGTGCGCTAATCATGACGAACATTGCTGCGATGATAGAAGAACTCGGGTGGAAGAAGTTGATCAAGCTTCTGAAGACTGATTCTACGGCGGCGTTGGCAATTCAGAAAGGGAGTGGATCACAGCGAACCAGACATTTGAGGATTCGCTCCAGTTGGGTTGCCGAAAGGATCGACGAAGGCGATTTTGAAGCTGAGCATTGTGCTGGAGAGGGTCAGCTAGCGGATGCACTAACGAAGCCTTTGTCGTCTTCAAGACTGGCACAGTTGTCGAAGTTGATTGGGCTATGGAGTCGAGAGGAGCTTCAAGGCTATGTTGCTCAGTCAGTCCACTGCAAGTTGCTCGACAAGACCTGGGACTCCGAGTGTGCTAATTGCATTGCTGGTTTTGAGCAGAGGGCTTCGAGCTTGTACCTCATGAGCCGTTAGCTGTTGACCATGGGATGCTCGCATGGGTTGTGTTTGGTGTCATTCTTCTGTCCTGGATTGGAGCCTGGGAACTACTGAAGTATGCTGGTTGGCATGTGTATTATGGCGCTGTTCCTGCAGCAACAGAACGGAGAATGAGGAGATTGCAGAGGATCAGAGACACAACAGCCAGAGCTATACGTGATGAGCTGGACTCAAGAAGGGCAGCCCGTGAACTTGAGCGACAACGACCAGTTGAAATCAGGCGAGCTCAGGACTTGTCCAGAGCAGAGAGCTCAGCGGGACCTGGAGATCGAACTGAAACTTCTGGGAGAGTACCAAGCACTCCGCTTGGGGGCCGCACTGTTTACCGAGCAGATCAGAGAGACAGGTCAACACAGACGACCGGGCCTGCATTTGCTCCTGTTGTGCCAGAAGTCCGCACCGAGGTGCGTACACAGGTGCGAGTTCCAGAGCCAGTCCATATAGTTCCCGGAAATCCATGTTTTCATGTTTACAATCCCTGCCATGCTTTTCGTCATCGCGGAACACAAGACAGAGTACAGACTTTGAGGATTTGCGAGTATTGCGTGAGACATCAGGGAAGGGACCCCCAAGGTCCGAGAGAAGGCGGAATCGATGAGATTCTGCGGAGAGGCGGAAGGCCACTCTACGATCGTCCTGGCGAAGAGTGGTGAATGCAATCGTGCACTATCGGCACGCTTGAGGAGGAGTGAAGAAATCCCTGAATCCCTCATGTCGGAACATGGCAGTTTGCTGAGTGTACATGAGCGAGGTTTTGATTGTGAAGTGATTCGCCTGCTGCCGCTATCAAAGACAAGGCTACGTGAACACAGTCTTGGGCCATGCAGCATGTCACAGTGTATAGTTTTTACCACAAGCCCGGTAAGTGCCATTACGAAGCAGTCTAATCTGACAGGTGCTGTAAGCACGTCTGCAGAGGACACAAGGAGTCATCGTTTGTGGTGCGTGAAAACCAGTAAGAGCGACCGCTTGATTGCCATGCGTGTGCTGTAAGAGCTGTCTGGCGTATACAGGAAAAGCCATTGTTTTTGGCTTTTTGAGTTATCCTAAACCCTCCTGCAGGGCCGCTTAGACGTTTTGACTTGCTTCAAACTAAACCAGCTCTGACTAATCTGATTTACTAAAACGTCGCATGGAGTCACGACTTCGTAGCAACTGCTATAGTTTCAGCTACTCTACACCCCACTACTCCGCGCGACTCTGCTGGGCCGCTGAGACGTTTTGACTTGCTTCAAACTAAACCAGCTCTGACTAATCTGATTTACTAAAACGTCGCATGGAGTCACGAATTCATAGCAACTGCTACAGTTTCAGCTACTCCGTGCCCCACTACTCCGTGCGGCTCTGCTGGGCCGCTGAGACGTTTTGACTTGCTTCAAACTATACCAACTCTTTCTTATCGGATTTACTAAAATGTCGCATGGAGTAACGAATTCATAGCAACTGCTACAGTTTCAGCTACTCCGTGCCCCACAAGCCGTGTATCGCGACCTCGCGTGTGCGGCCGGTCCGTTGCTATTTCCCCCAAATCTGCAGTCAAATGCTCCGCCGCCTCCGTAAACGGCACATGATCGAAAGCAGGCTCAATCATCTCCGCGTCTCCCGACACACGCCGAACCACAATTAGCGGACGCAGCCATTCAGGTGCATCTGCCAGAAGGTTCGTGGCGATGCGGACAACTGCGATGGCAGAATGCTGCTGAGCGGTCCAAAGCACGTTCTGTTCCAACACAGCGTCCATGACGCACACCACAACGAGAAAGTCTTGGAGGAGCCTGCGCAACCAAGGACACCCAGCGAGCTGCGTTGGGCGGCGCACGCCGCGAGGATGGCAGCGATGTGCCCCATAAGGAGGCCGTCCGGGCTGGCCAGCTGGCTGGCAATGTGTCGACAGAAGGCCTTTCCCATGAGTGCAGCAAGGGTGTGAAACTCTGCCGGAATCAGAGCGACGGGGACTCGCCAGTCGCTTCGAAAGGCATCCCGAGGGTTAACCTGTTCGGCGCGCTGGCGAAAGGCAAGAATTGTTTCCCGGAATTTCACATACTCCGCCTTGTGGTCATATCCGAAGTGGGTGGAAAGACGGGGGCCTTCGCCGCTGCCTCGACTGCCTGCAGGAAAGTAAGCACCACATGTGTTTCGGCGCCAAAGTGGACTTGCGGGCGAGTGGCCGGCTGGGCGTGAGGCCGAATGGGCATGCCTATGGCGAGGGGCACCCGCGCAGTGGGCATCTTCAACACCTGTAGGAAAGCATCCAGTGCCCCGCCCACTTTGACACAGGACAGACTTTGCAGAGAAATCTCCCACCTGTGAACACTCCCGGGCATGGGCTCGGCGCCTAAGAAGGCAGGCCACTGGCTAACGAGTAACAGGGCTGCCGTGGGGTTGAGGCGGTTGTGGCGCCTTTGCACCTTCCGCTTCTGGGGCGTATTTCCACTGACAGAGGGAACCACAGATTCCACGAAAACAGCAGTTAGCTGCCCTTGAAGGAGAGCCAGCCGCAGCAAGCAGCCCTCCGACGGGGGGCGGGTGCCATTTTGGCGATGTGAGAACCAGCCTGTGTTCGGCAATGCCGACAGGCCGTCGCGGCAAGATAAGCCAAGCACGTATGTGCCAAAGCTGAGGCAGTCTTCCACCCGTAGGACGGCACGGAGGGGTCGCGCGTAGACCCGTTTGGTGTCCTGGTGCGACATTCTCCTGTGCTCTTGACCCGTGTCGTCTGTCGTGTGGTCCCAGAACTGTTAAGATCATTTGAAAGATATTTGAACGGTATTCCGTTGGAATCTCATCGAAACATATAAGTAATAAAATCTCGATGGAAATCTCAATCGGAATATATTGCAAGATATAATTCCGCAACTGCTCACCAAAGGATCGCGCATGTTTTTCACACCTCCCTCGCACTGCTCGGATCTTGGACGTCGGGGGTAAATCGATGGATGGCAGAGGCAACACTCTCCGACTCATCCACACCCGAAGGCATCACACCATTTCCCCCCAGGGTAGGGCGGGTGGGCTAAAATTCAAGCTTGATGCCCGACTTCGGATGTAGTCGCTTCACACAATTCCATGCGTGCATGAAAGTGCAAAGCATGTAAATTGAAAAGGTCGAAACACAAATGAAATATTTCAAACTGTGTGACGACAAATTGAAGAAATGTTTTCTCGAGCTACCGCGAGGTGAAACATACAGTTCAGGGTTCGCTACGTGCCTACGCCCCACACAACAGACAGAAGTATCCGCACGCAGACACTAGACGTCTATCGTGTGGTCCCAGAACTGTTAAAATCATTTGAAAGATATTTGAACGGTATTCCGTTGGAATCTCATCGAAACATATAAGTAATAAAATCTCGATGGAAATCTCAATCGGAATATATTGCAAGATATAATTCCGCAACTGCTCACCAAAGGATCGCGCATGTTTTTCACACCTCCCTCGCACTGCTCGGATCTTGGACGTCGGGGGTAAATCGATGGATGGCAGAGGCAACACTCTCCGACTCATCCACACCCGAAGGCATCACACCATTTCCCCCGTCAACTGTGATGCTGAGCATACACCTTCATCAGATCATCGAGAGCAGCAAAGGAGAAACATGGGTCCTTGATGAATCGCAAGAGCTCATCAGGGAATGACACACCTCCCTGGTCAACTGCACTGAAGGATTCGCATAACTTCTTCGATTCGCCCCTGGAGGGCAGATCGGCCGGGTTCGATTTTGATGGCACCCTGTCGTACCAAGCACCGAACGGAAGAACTGCATCCATCGCGTTGATCACTGCCATAATCCTAAACATGGCCTCTGACTGGCTCGATCTCTTGATGAGCGTGGCCAAGGCGGAGTTGTTGTCCACAAAGACGAAGCCCTTTCGAGCGCATAACCGTTAACCGCTTTCCGAAATGCCATCTAGCGCACAAGACAGCGAAGAGCTCTATCTCGCATATGATCTGCTCCCCAACGGTCAGAAGCCAATGTTGCCGGATGTCTTCAGGGATGCATCCAGACAGTGCGAACCTCTCCTGCGTCTCAAGGTCACATAAGAAGACTCCCCAGAGAGCCTGATCGCCTTCAAGAGAGCCGTCAGTATACACGATCACAGGTTCACGAGGATCGGTCACTCGCAAAGTCCTGGGCTTCATCGCACAGAAGACTGAGCAAAGCATGTCGTTGAGGCGAACAATGGCCTCCGAAGAAAACGTTGCCGGCCTCGCAGCCAACTTCGAATACTCCCTCGCAATAGGCTTCAGAGCGGAGCCCAGGACGAAACCACTGGCGAAGTTCAAGAGTCCATGAAGCGAAGTGGCAAGCTGCTTAACGTTGGAATCCTGCTTGATCAGTTGCTGGGCAATCGACTTGATGCGGTCAACTCTGCCTTCTTTGTTTCTAACCTCAAGAGATCCTTGGTGGAGACTGGAGAAGTCGAACTCCGCCCCCAAGGCAACCCACTGGCTCGCGAAATCCACAGCCTTCTTCCCGGTGGTGGCGTGAATCCACCCCAAAGCGTTGAGCAGCCGGGAGAACGAATCCGAAGCGTTAGCGGCCAATGGAACAATCTCGAAGGTCGGGTAATCGTCCACATAGACTGAGGTGACAAGTCCCAGCTTCACCACTGCTACGTGCCACAATGCACGGGAAATCTTGTTGAAGGAGAAAACCGAACCCGACCCACCAAATGGTAGACCTCGGGCCAGGTAAAAGGTCCATTTTGATTCTCGTGATGGCATGGCAATGACAGCGTATTTCAGCGAACATGTAGCCACCGGCACTTGCTTGTAGGCTTTAGAGAGGTCAAGACATCTCCCAACCCAATGCGCATCTCTGCTCTTAGGGTGCCACTCGCCTTCGAGGACCTCACCCGATTGAAGGGAAACACGCACCTTCTCCTTGTCGCTCCAAACCTTCGCGACGAAGAGAGCCATGGAGGCGACGAAATCCAGGTCGTGAAGCTGCAGCAGGGATGTGGACCCGAACGATGCATTGACGCCAGAGTCCCTCAAGTTGTCAATGACACGCGGCTTTCTTGCTTCTCCCTGCAAGAGCAGGAATCTTTGACTTGGAGTCCACTGGCTGGTTCCCAACCTCTCAGTCACTTTCTCCTCGCAATCGAACGGCCCCTCGAGAAAACCCAATCGGCATTCTTCGTGTGAAAAGCGGAGGATTCCACTCAACTCTCGGTCACAAAGCCCAAGGCAACCAATCGTAGATAAAAGCAAGGCAGCAGGCAAAGCAAGGATGATCAGAGATTAAAACCGTAAGTTTGACGCTCAGCGGAAAGGCAGCACTAGAACCCCCAGGTGCTAGCGGACCTTTTGCTGGACCTGACGCAAAGTCGGTCTTGAGCTGTCAAGCTGCGCAGTGAGACAAAGTTGGCGTGAATCCTAACCAAGACACAGAAGCACATGTACGCATGTCCGTGACAAATCACACCCCCCTCGACGCGAGCTCACGCGTGAGAAGAGCGGAGTTAGGAGAGTCACGTACACTGGTTGTGCACCGAGCCACACCTCTTCCGGTCAGCTAAGCTTAAAGCAGTAAGCACCATTAGATGTGGGTCGGTCTCTGCATCCGGATCAAACCTATGTTTCACTTCTGTACAGACGCAGCCTTTTTGTGATCGTCAGGTGCATAGCGAATTGCCGTGTGATCGTTGGCAATCGGATGTTCCATCGGATCTATGCGGGGGTAACACACTAGACTCAACGCGCTCAGAGTGTAGACTCGGCAGCATCGAGTGTCCGTGAAAAGAGAGGGACACACGAGGAAAATACCATGGCTAACCATTGTACCCCTGTGGGTCTTCTCAGCGCGGTGCAGGCAAGGAAGGCTGAGGAAGTAGCGGAAATTGTGTCATAGCCGGGCTTCACCATCAGACTCCGTCTGACCCCGTAAGCGCGTGACGCAAGGGTCAGAAAGACTCAACCGGATTCACCTTGCAGTGACACAATACGTCGCTACGTATGTTGACGGTCGTTACCTACGACTTGTGGGGCTACGGGTGCGGTCCTTATTTCCTCGTCCAGAACCGCCCCTTCCTTTGTTTCCCTTATCGCCCTTTCCTCGGCCTTTCTCCTGCTTTCCTTTTCCTTTCTCGGCTTTCCCTCTTCCTTTGCCCTTCGTCGGCTGCCTCGTGTCATCAGCTTCATCAATGAGGCCTGTCACGTTGGATCCGGTTCGGGATTTGCCCTTAGCCGTGGTTTCTTTGGCTGGGCCCATCGTTCGAGATCGCGGCTCCGAAGAGGCAGTATCGGAAGGAGCTGGCGGAGCAACATTCGTTTCTTCAGCAGCACGCTGTTGCGTGCGTCCCCGTGCTTCTGCACTTTTGATCACCTGAGCCGGCGCTGGTCGCGCAATCGAGGGAGCCCACTTTTCATCGCGAGGCAACTTCGATGGCGGATTCGACGCAGCGCGAACGCTAGGTGCCGGGAACTGGGGATTAATCCGCTCCTGTGTAGCAGCGGACGTACTTCCAGGCGATGCTGCTCGCCCCGTCCCCGTATTCCCGGTATGGGGAACAGTAACGCCAGCCGCCCTCATATTAATATCGTCATCGGGATTTGCGCCCATCGCGATGATGACGGCTGCGGCTTTCTTCCTGATGATGGAAAGCGTGTTCGGCGCATGATACATGCGAATGATGTCCTCAATCGTCGGGTTATCCAGATCCGACTCCGGAACCCGAGTCTTCATTCGCAACACTGAGGGCAACCGCATCCGATCGGAGTATTCTGCCCTCCCCGACACCATTAACGGTTCTCCATCAGGATGGGCGGCGCCGTAGCCTGTTTGCCGATGTGATTTTCGAGTCGGCAAATTTGATGGCGGCGGCATGTTATGAGGCGGTGGCGGAGTCGTCTCGGGAGCGACACCTCCGTGATGCTCTCGTCCGGTGCGCTGTGATGTTGGATCGGGTCGTACCGCTCGATCGAGCTCAGTATCATCCTCATCCTCGTCATCCGTAGGAATGGGAACGGCATGAGCCTCGGGGATCGGCGCTTGTCTTTGCTCGGTGACCTGCACTCTGCGCTGAGGTGCAGGGTCTCGCCGCCGTGCCTGGCGAGCCGCAACATCGAACACTCTTGGAGGATCATCCAGTTCATCGGGGAGAGCCTCGAAGACGTCCTCAGCCCTTTTCATCAGAAGCGGGTCAGTGCTATTTGCATCGGGAAGCTGATCCTTGACACCTTCAACAAGATTGAAGAATGTCTTCTCTGTCGCACGATCATCGTCAAAGCATTCTTTGATCTTGATAGAGTGATCGCGGACGAACTCCTTGAATTCCTTACGCGTCTCTTCCGGCGTTTCGGCTGCATCAAGGAGTGCCGTATTCCCCTCAGCAATAATCGTGAATCGGGGATCAGAGTGATGCGGAATAAGCTTCCGTCCTAAGGGATCCAACTCACGCCAGTTGATGGCTTGGACGTTGGATTCGTCTTCCCCTTTGCCTTTCCCTTTGGGCTTCTCGCTTGCCGCTGCGGCTCCTTCGATCTCTTCTGCTTCATCGTCAGAGATATAGCCAGGCTCACCTTTTGTCGGAATGCCGTAGCATGTGGTAAGGGTAACCTTGGCCAGGAGCGCGGAAAGGCTCTCACTGTCGACACGCATGTATCGTTGATACTTTTGCGTATCCGTGATAGTGGCACGGAATTCATCCAACGTTCCAAACTCGGTGGAGAGTCGAATGTGCCGCCTCATCGCCAAATTGGCGTTTTGCAAGGGCAGATGAGCAAGTCGGATCTTTTCTGCCATCTCTTGGTCGACGGTATAATCGACCGTCACACCTGTGTAATAGGGGGATAGATACCCTCGCGACAGGCATACTCGATATGCGCGCTGGCAGTGAATCGACCAACGTGCATAGTAGCACAACGGCTTTTCGCGACATGTGGCGAAGACCGCTCCAAAGTGCTTGACTATCGTGGCAGCACATGCGATCGACTGTGAGTTGAAGAAGTCTTCTACTCCACATCGAGCTTCCTTGCCAGTGATACCGGCAACAAGCCTCTCAATGGAAATGTCCAAGCGAATGGCGCCCTGAATCGTACCGCGCACGCTTCTCTTGAACAGTTCCACTTCCTTCGGCGATGTGTCAGCAGCGGTGCATTTGATCGGTGGCACTCCGAAGAATGCGGTCTGCCTATGGTCCTCAGCGAGAGACCTAGACACCGGGAAATTCCTCAGCTGCTTGATCGCAGGAAACTCGTGAAGCTGGAATTCGGTAAGCTTGTTACGCTCGATCAGATCATTGAGCCACTCAGCATGACTTCCGTAATATTCGACCTGGAAGGGGTTCACAGGGTCGGCGTAGAACATCCCATCAGGATAGTGAATCGGCTTAGTGCAAGAGTGACACATGTGGAGACCAACAGGGAATGAAGCTCCGCACATGGGGCAGTCGAAGCTAGCGAGTGGCCACGTTTCTCGTCTGTGGTCTCCCCTCTTGGGTCCAGTGCCAAACTTCGGGCCTCCGATATATTTGAAGGCCGTGTTGAACACTAGAGATCCCGTATCCATGAAGTATGCAATCGGCATACATGCGAGAGGGATACTGTCCTTGATCGCGTAGTACCCTCTCGGATGGAATGTAATCGGATTGATACCTGCTGCAATCATGTGCAAATCAATCGCGAACACAATCATGCGGTTGGATCCCATACCTTCGGGGAGCATGCTTTGTGATGACGCGGTGTTCGAGAGCGTCTCACGTCCCGGGTTCATTCGGACGTTCATGTACACCTCTTCCCACTCGTTGTTCTTCCCAGACCCAGGGGCATACGGGAGCAGTGTGAGGAAGAGTTGCCCCTTTGGGGGGTTGAGCTTGCAATCGTTCATGTATCCGAAGAACTCGCGAATCGTTGCGCATCCCCATCCGTACTGGGGATGATATCGGGCCACATTTCGTCTCCTCTCGCCATTGACATAATGTTCTTGAGCGAGCTGAGTGAATGGCCCGTGCTGACACTTGATCAGCAATCGGAATCGGTTGAAGTTATCGGGACCGAAACCATAGGTTGCTCGGACGCCAACAAATTGAGGACTTCCATCGTCGTTGATCGTCGAGTAGAAGAACTCAAACATTCGGTTGTTGTCCGTTCGAGCAATTTCCGTAATGCACTGGACGGTGAGCTCACTCGGCTTATCGTCATCGTCCAGAATGCTAGTCTGGAGAAGCGTCCGGCCGCTGAACTCGCCAGCGTTGGCCTTCATGTATTCCCTCTCGCGTTCCATGTACATCGGAATGACATCGAAAGCGATGATGCCACTCTGGTCGAGGAATGAATACAATGGGACGCCCCTCTATTTGTCCTGGGGGCGATTCTGTGCTCCGACGGCAGTCGAGGATGGACGCTCCTTTGTTTGCGTCAGCACTCGGAACAACAGCTTACGCACCAAACTGATCATGCCTGCGTCCGGAATCCTGGCGGCAGGGATATTTTGTGCGTCATCGATGAGCAATCGGCTGCATGACACTGATGTTCCGCCGATAGATCGGTATGTCGCCTCCTTGGCATTGTAGGCTCGGACAGCTTCATGGATCTCGCGGCAGTCCTCATAAGATTCCGGTCGGAGGAAAGAATCGTGTTCTCCTTTAAGCGGTTTCTTGTGAAGCGCCATACCCAAGTACACTGTCTGATTCGAGGACAGCATAGCAAATCGGCGTCTTGAATATTTGCGCTGCTCGTCAGTCGGTGGGAGACAGGTCACAGAGACCAATCGACCATGGACGGAGTCATCGATGCCCATGTCGAGTCCCGGAACGACGAAATCTGGCAGTGCAATCGGGACAGACGTCATTTCGTACTGCACGATTGGCGCAATGGAGTCAATACCCCTTTCGGGCAGCTGATCGGGGCGATGAATCGTTGTCGCCTTGATACCAGGGCCCTCGATCCGGCAGTTTCTCGGATCATTTGCCGCCTGATCGGCTGTGGTGCTGGCCGGATCAATATCGACTTCCGGTCCTCGAGCACCGGAGAGCGCGGCTCCCTGAGCAACCATGTCATTCGGAGGACTGGAACGCAGGCCGTGTTCCGGAGGGCTCTCAGCGGTTCGGGCAGCTGGCGGCGGGGCCTTGCCGGGGACCTCGTCTTGCAGCTCCTTCCCGCTACCCATATCTGCGTCCTCCTCGGGTTTCTGCTCGGGTTTCTGACCGGCCGTGTCATCATCCATTTTGGTATCATCGTCATCCTCCTTTGCACTCTCTTCGGACGCCCTCGGAGGTGCTGCCGCAATAGGCGGAGGAGGAGGAGCCACGTTTGGCGGAGGCGGCGCAATCGCGCGCTCGGATGCAACACTAACCTGTTCAGTGGACGGAAGATCGTTGTCCGCCACGCCATCACCCTGGCTACTCAGGGCACCTGAAGCATCACTGCGACGCGAGGAAGAAGCGGCAATAGATCGGGCATGCTTCTGGAACTCACTCGCAAGGAATCCAGCAGTGTTCCGCAGCTGTACTGCCATACTACGCTGGAACTGGGACAATCTGTCATCCCCAGATCGACCAGTAGTGCCGTAGCTCAAGTCATCGGTGAGCCCCATCAGGCTCTGCACTGGATCTTCCTCCGGCTTACGGAACTCAGTCACTCGTCGTTGCATGGTGAAGCCCGGTGGCAGTTTGAGGTCCTCTCTCGTCAACCTTGCCGCCGTGTTGTTCACCAGGGCCACCCGCATGGATTGAATGACTTTTCCAGGAGTAGGCGCGATGAGGTCCGGCCAATCATCGGGGGTCGGAACCTCAAGGTCCTCTGGTTTGAATACCATCTGCTCAAAGGACATCGCACCCATGCCACGGTGTCGGATGGCAATCTGCAACGACTGGTATGTGTTGAGAAGCGATCGAGCCATACCATACGTCGACGGAATGTGCGGGTGGAACACGGGGAGGGTTGACATGCTTGCAACCACTGCATCCAGGTTGGAAATGATCGCTCCAACCTTAGCTTCAAGCTCCCCCCTGTTTCCATACTCTGGAGTCCATCGTGCATCGATGGCAGACACAGTCTCACCAGTGTCTCGGTTGATGAGCACAGGCGTGAATTGGTCGCTGGCCATCTCCCTGATGAGATTGCTGTTCGATTCAACCCGACGTCTGCCTTGAGCCAGTCGGTTCGTGACAGCGTCAAGCGCATAGTCACCCGGGGGATACAAGGCACCCTGAAACACATTGTCATCGCTCATGTTCGGGTCCAAGACCTTGGCTAGCCCATCGGCAATGGATCGAAGATGTTCGGCATTTTCAACACCGGCGGCGCCCTTTGCCACTTCAGCGATATGCGCTTTCATTGCCGCAGCTTGTTCGCGGCGAGCTTCAGCTTCACTGACTTGGCTCTCGAAGTGCGCATAAGCTTGTCGATTTTCGGCGGTGGGCCCCGCGGCTTCCTCGCCACCAACCGGCTTCGGCTTCTTCATCGTAGAGAGAGGAATCGAGGGCACGGCAGGCGGTCGTGCAGCGTCCCGATTGGCAGCGACAGTTCGCTCGGCATCTCGAGGAATGGGCATTTTCGCGAATTCCTCAGTCATTCCTTCGAGAAGCCCATTGAACTCTTCATCGGACTCCTCCTTTTTGACTGTGGGCATTGCCGCGTCACCATCCCCTTGCTGATCGTTCTCATCGGAACTGCTGCCAGATTCTTCATCATTCATGGCAGTCGGAGCAAGGCCAGGTGACACTGGCATTGCCTCGCCAGGCACGGGAGTAGCTGGAAGCGCGATCGGATCCGGATGACGAACACCCGGTAGATCCGCCAATGTTCCCTGTTCCTGTTTGATCGGATTTCCGGGAGCGGTCGGACCTACGTCGTCAGGCATATCGTCATCATCGTCATCATCGAAACCTAGCTGAGTCATGTCGACAGTCTCTGCGGCTTGATGATCGGCGCCGCGATCTGCACCATCGATGAGGTCCTGCACAGTGGAGTGCACAATGGCCTTCACCGCGCCCGGCGAGTTCTCTTCCGGGACTGGGGTGCGTGCCCACATCTTCTCGGCAGCGATCTCATACTCCCGGCGGGTCCCGTAAGACGGAAATCGTGCGAGAGCAGCAAGAGTGAACATCGAGCAAATGCGGGTACATAGGACCCCAATCGTCTTGGACTCATGCATAATATGATATCCCTTCAGGTATGGCAGACCTTCCAGGATAGCGTCAAAAGAGAGGGTAAGGAGGTTGGATCTCCTGATCGCGTCCCAGATCGATCTCATCTCCTCTCTGTATTTCTCGAAGAGAGGGCCAGGGAGAGTCGGAAGGTACACCATGCTCGGCGACACCGGACCGCAAAGGGACACCGATCCGTAGATCGTATTGTATTTCTCGAGAGCATCCCGGGCGGTCGTCTTGGCATATTGAGATCGTGCCATATCGATATCGCCAGTTAGCTTGTTCCAGCCCTGGTCTATCTTCCACAGATCCTCTCCTCTCCAAAGGATGAGGACGTGCACATTCGATGGCGGGATGGAGGTCTCGCTCTGCGTCATCGCGAGAGTGTCGACCATATCCTTGAGCTTGTTGTCCTCGTCGAACGCCTGCACGCGCACCTCGGAATCAGGAAACCCAAAATTTCGTCAGCGCGTTCTTCAGATGGGCGTTCATCCCACCATCATGCCAAGATTTGGCAGACTTGAAGGACAGCAGGCCATCGTGCATAACAACGAATCTCTGCGGTTTGCTGGGTACCGCCGGCTTGATCGTTGGCGGTGCACCCCCAAATGCAATCGTGGAGGCCATGGTCGTGACCGTTCTGACCCCATGGATCGATACGGCCACAAGTGCATCGGCCGGGCTCCAAATCGGCGCACTAACAATATCCGTTGTTCCTTCTTCGCTGTACGGGATATTCTTGAGGCTCTTGGCGGGCGTGTAGCCGAAGTCCCCGAGCATGACACCGTATGCCTTTCGGTAGTGTCTGCACCATGCCTCCCACTCCTTGGAGGGTCCTCCGACAATCGTCTCGAGCCTTGCAGGCTTTGGCAAACCTTGGCTTCCGTCCTCTCCCATGATGGGTGCTCGAAGCTGAAAGAATGGAGCAAGCTCGAATCGGTAGCTGGAGGATTGAAGTTCGGATAGCAAGGCATACCTGCCACCGACAGTGGCGTGTTCACTGGTCCCGTGAGAGTCAGGCATCCAGTGGTTGCGGCGAAGCACTGCTGGGTGGACTGTGACTCGGTCCGTCGCCTCATTTCCACCCTCCGCAGCCTGATCGTCAGCCGCGGTCGCCCTAGATTGTTCCGTCTCGGTGGAAGCAACCTGTTGAGTAGTGTTGCCCCCTTGAATCGTGAGGTCGGCAAACTCGACACTGTCGCGAGCGACGCTTTCTCCCAGCAGCTTCAGAATGCGAGGATCAATCGGGCTCGCTTCCATCCATGGGTGCCAGGCCACAGCTTTTGTCCCGTCGGCACTAAGGAATCGGTGACCATGGATGACGTATTGTGGAGAGGTAGAAACCCCTTGCTCGCGGTCATCCAGAAGGCGGAAGGGCCTGAACGCGATCCCGCACAGCTCGAGGAATCGAGTTCCGACGCGGATCTGTTTCTGGGATCCTCCCAGCTTCTTCGTCGTGCGACCGTGGGTGTTCACCACAGTCCGGGAGACGCAGATCATCACTTGAAACCAGTATCCTCCTCCGAGGTATGTGCCAGACGCGTAGCTACCGGCAGCCTCGGAAGCGTGTCCAGTCACCCAGACGCAGGGTTCGTGACTTCCATGATCGTCCGTCACGTAATCCTCCCCGAACAGACCTCCGTGTGCAAGAATCGACCAGAGGTATCGGAGGTTCGTTCCGTGAAGGAACGTTTCCTGAGGATCGTATATGTCCGAATTCATCGCGGGGACATACACCCATCCATCAGTCGGGCGGATGGTAGTCTGCCCCGCACCGTCCTCATAGGTCATAGGGGTGCTGGCTCCCCAGTTGAGCGTATCATCGATGCTAACGCACCGGCCGGGGTAGGCCTCAACCATCGCTTTCATGAACGAGACCCACCCGCGCATCAACGGGGTATTCTCATCGTCGTCTTCGTTGCGAAAGGCGGCTGCTTCCCCGATCCCGTTCGCGTCCACGGCAGGAAGATCGTAGCCGTGTTCCTTGCGATCGTTATCGAGGTGAGTTGCTTGCTCTTTCAAAGAGTCCAGCGTGGGAAATCGGTTAAGAGCCTTGAGCGCCAGAAACGCTCCAGGGATGAACGATAGCGTCGGCCTGAGCTGCAGAAATCCCTTGAAGAACTTCACAGCTTCAGCCTGGCTGACCGCCTCCCTTGACAACTCTATGGGCGACAGCTTGGTGAGGTCGTTGTGTTTGATACTCGTATCGGTCCTCAACCATCCCTGTTCAGCAGTCGAACTGCTATATCCCATGAGATTTCGGTTCCAGCTCGCAAGAGGCGACGGGATGTAGCAGGTTCCCATGAGCTGGAGCGTATCGTTGCTCAGCATATCTCGGGATCCCTTAAAGCTTTGCGCTTGGAAAAGTATACAATGGCGAGCCAGCGCCATCGTAAGGTCCATTTTCTCGCGGACCCCGCGGCGTCACCAGACAACGTCGCCACTCGGGAAAATGCAAGAGCGCACATCACCCTGTATCGGTCGATGAAATCCATAAACTCTTGGGGGTACTGCTTCCTCTGCTTATCCGCAAGCGGATGAGTAGTGAGAAGGAAGGAGTCAACCAGCTGGTGCAGCTTGAGATCGTACCCAGAGTTGCATGTCAGCTGCTCGAGGCGTTGCCAGATTGAGGCCTGTGGGATCTCTTGAATCCCAATCTTCAGCATCATCATCTTCATCCTCAATCCTATCGGAATGTCCTCGGAGCGCTTTCCACCCCCTGTGGACTCATCTCTCGGGGTCTGAATCGGGACAGGGGCTTCATCGGTACCCATGTTGGAATCATCCTGCTCCGTGGGAATCGGCGGAACAGGAGGCCTTTCCGTAGTCGGTGCGACCGCACCGCTCGGAAGGCCTTCCCTGCATAGCGAGGGAGACTTCGGCTGGGGTGATCGGGCAGCCGGTGTCTTGGCAGCAGCCTTCTTCGGTCGCTTCTTCTTTCCTGCCATCGATCAGCAGCGGCAGCAGCGCGGGGAAGTTCGCAGCCCGTGGAAGCTACAACCTGTCCTAGCAGGGAGCGCAAGTGGGCTATAGACTGGGCCGTAGTAGAGGTGGTCTGTGATGGTCGGTTGATGAAGGTGATCTATGATCATCTTCCCTAGAGCTCCTTACCAAGTTGTGTCAAGTGTAAGTGTGCAAGTGTGTGTGTGTGTGAACATGGCCTTGGCGTCTTTGTTTAAGCAATCGGCTACGCGGATTGCTGTGAGCCAAAGATTGCAGAATTTATGAAGTGTTCAAGCACAGTCCACAATGCAAGTCGAAGCTCCTTCGGGTCGGCCCTTTTGACCTTCTTGTGATTGCATGCAAATCGTGACATGAAGATGGGCCCAAAACGGGCAGGCATGAAAATCTCACACATCCATGCATGCTGGGAACATCGACCAGAGGAGCACGAGCACAGTTTAACAGGGCACAGCTCGTGCGACTCAGACCATCGTCGTATATACTCCCTACCCCACAACGGGTTTCCCTTCGGCAGCACAAGAAACACAGGGATTCCGGATGAGCGGGCAGCGGAAGCATACCCGAGTAATTTCTTGGCTTCCCACCCTTTTTCCTTTAGATCGCCCCTCATCTCTTTCCAACCCCTGTTCTTGAAACCAGCTTCTCTTTTGTTAGCGGTGCCAGCAATCGGAACAGTGACAATACATACCGCAGGCGTAGGCGGGACCCTGATGTTCGAAATAGCAATCCCTTTTGCATTATCATCGAGACTGAGATTGATACTTCGAGCATGAGGGAATCGGATTATGCCTTCGCCTCCGATATGAATACATTTTACTGCTGCTCCGAATTGGTGAGCATCATCGATTGAAACACCCCCCTGACGAGACATGTCGAGGATGAAATCGTTGAAGGGGCTGTGTCCGGTTTCAAGATGTACCCCCCTGGTTGGACAGACAGAGGGGAGAGCAGGGAGAGCGGGAGCGGCAGACAGCATACCGGAGGAAATAAGAGTACCCTTACGAAAGTGACCAATAGACATAAGGTTGCGGCCCCACACCTTAGCATCAGTGCAGGCCTTGGTCAGAATATCACCAGCCTCGAATTGAGAGGGACACGTTACGAACAGAAAATCCCCAGCGTGATAACGCTCGTTCAACGCAGAGATATCGATGCGCTGGGTACGAGACATGTGACGCATGTTCGGATTGTGACCAGTGATAACGACACGAATAGCGGCCTCATTGTCCTCCATGACCCGCAATCGGAAACGGCGGCCCAACATATACTCCCACATAGATAGAGCAGGCAGGCCTAATTTATACACAGCGTGGTCAAGAGAGACAATTTCGGCCTCGGGGGTAGACTTCGACACAGAAGTTTGCTTCTTGGACAAAGCATTAAGAGGCATAAAGCTACGCGGCCCAAGAAGACACATAAAGACACCAGAGGTGCTCTTGGAATCAGTGCGGTCACCCGCAAGATCGGCATCGCAGTAGAGCACAAGCTCCAGCATCTCGGGTGCATCACCAATCCACCCATACAAGTTGAGATCGAGGGTAGAGTTGATATAGCACACCAGTCGATGGAGTTTCTTATCACACAAGCCATCCCACTTGGTGATGAGACTGGCAAGTGCCTGCACAGGACGGATTAAATCGTACCGCCCCATGCGAGCACCATATAGAATTTTCATCAGAACGGCGGCTGCACAGTCGCCGAGGACGCCCTTACCAGGAGGCACAGGCGTGTCAGCGGGATGGCCCAATAAGCGGTTCACAGCAGGTCGATCCGGATTGGTATCGAATTCCGGTCGTGATTCATCAAGGAATGGCGTATCAGCCGACCGCAAGGTGGCCTTATACTTAGGGCCACAGAGCTCAACATAGCGAGAAACACATTGTTCCATGAACGATCGCATATCGTATTTGATCATGCGAATTTCTCGAGGACCAACAGAGCCCTGCGCGACACTGGTGTCGCGATCACCAAACGTCAGCTCGGGAGACGCCTTCTTGGGTTCCTCGAAGCGCGTCCAATAGGTGCGCGGATCAAAGGCACTAGGGACAACGTGGGAGAAGGTAACATGCTCGCATCCCAAGTAACGTCTGATGCTCGAGGGCGGCTCCAATTTAATCTTCGATGCCATGAGCTCCCACCCTTTTGCCAGATTGGCCTTTGGTCCACTGAGCTTAAAATCATCGACGTAGACCACGAGCATAAGATTAAGTTTGGGATGACGAAATACACTCTTCCAGTCGGGACACTGCTCGAACCCAACTGATCGAAGAGCCTTCTCACAATGCTGTTCCCAGAAACCACCGGCATCCGGATGCCCATAAAGGGCCAGCACTAGGCGTACGACCGGATCGTGATACTTGCCTTGCCATTCGGGCAACCAACGATCCTTGGGCAAGCGGACCCACGTGGCCGGGCCGCCAAGCTTGGCCTGAGTATAGGCAGATTCGCCATCGGCAACCTGTATTTCATGACCAGGAAGAAGGCCGAAGGCATCGGCGGCCTTTCCAGCTTCCATGGTCGCGGGGCAAGAGGTGATCTCGGAGAAAATAGCCCAATTATTGCCCTCGTCTTTGACATGACATCCTTCGAACACCACTCGACCCTTAAATTTGCGATTAGGGTCGGACTCCGGAAGCTCGGAATTCTTCTCAACGCATATATCGAAGATACGGCCAACGTGGGCCGTTTCCCCTTTCGCCATAGCCTCGTTAGACACATCGCGCCACTCACGCACGGATGCGTAATCCCAACATCCTTGGTTGATGAGCTTATTCCACTCCTTGTCAAGGGCGGCTTTCGCCTTGGGATTAGCGGCACGCTCTTTTCGGTCAACGGGCCGTGCAACACACGCACTGTAGAAGAAGACCGATGAATCGGGAGATCGGTGTGAATGAGGATCAGGGCGAACAGGCATTGCAGGTGCTGTATCAACAGCGCGGCCGTCATCGGATGGTTCAACCGGTGCAGAAACATCACATTCCACGTCTTCTGCGGTGAAGTCGAGCTCAACCGCTGCCAGAACGGAAGTGTAAAACTGAACCACAGCAACGTCTTGTCCGGGCTCGACTATAATATCGTAGTCGGTAGGATTAAGGACGTCAACACCGGACTGAGTTGCCCCTTCATTGTATGTGTACATGGCCGGGCAAACATCGAGGCCACTGCCGCGAAGCGGCTGAAGACGGGCGGACATACCACCCGGGGGCTCAAACTCAAGATCCGTAACGACACAGGCGCGAGATTTGGCAGGTACGACAGTACGGCCATTTGCACGCAATGCGTGTCCATAGTAGCCATTCGCAGTCTGCACGCGGCGCCCCGTGTCATCGGCGTTCGGCATACGGGTTCGAACTTTAATCTGCGTTTTGGCGGAAGAACCGATAACGAAGACCGTCTTTCCCGTCCATCGACACGGCAGAGACCGAGTGTCGGATGATCTCCATGAGTCCTGCAACGTGAACTCGGTACCGTCAGTCATGGCCATAGTCATCCTGACATCGGTCAATGTTGTAGGATCAACGGGACAATCTTTGACGGAGGTAGGGTTGAAGCGCGCTCGGCGTTCGATCACATGAAATCGGGTGATCGTGCCAGCTGCGACATCGTGATACCAGTAATCCTTGTCATGTCGTTCGGCACCCGACTCATATTCAGAATCGTAAGCGATGTCGACAGGAGCAGCATCGCGAGAATCCTCTCGGGACATGGCATGAGACTCAGCTTCTCGGCGCTCAGCCTCTACATATCCCTCCCGTTCGGCACGGTTCATACTGCGCCAGGATTCTGAATCGATAGAGTTCGGTTTTCGAGACCCTTTATATGCCCGCTCGGAACGCGGCACACTCTGACGATAAGGCAAACCCCCCTCGCCTTCCAGGATCTCCGACCCGTGGTAAGGAGGTAACTTCTTCTTGGGTGGGGCATAGCCGTCATCATAAAATTCGACAGTGCCGGTCCAGAGCTGCATGAGTCTTGTTTTGCCGAAGGCATACCCGGTCTCATAGATCGTAACCGGGCTTTTGTCCTTGTATTGAACATGTGATATACGCACTGTGCTCAGCTTCCATGGATCAGGCGACTCCCCGACGGAACCGGGAGTCTTACTGGGATGAACCATCGCTTTCCTTGGAACAACGACGTGATACGTCCATTTATGCACAGATGGGTCATACTCCCAGTAGTCAACACCTCCTCCATGAGAGGACTCTGCTCGTAACTCAGCCTCGCGAGCTTGGCGAATATCATCATCGGTCATTCGCGTTGACTCATCAAGGGCGAAGATTTCATCGATATCTTCGAGATCGAGCATGTCGGAGGCGTCAAGACGCTCACTTGGCTTAGGCACATTAGAATGCATCGCGGGATCGTTGATGCACACTGATCGTGTCTGTTTATCGTATACAGCCAGCATCGGAAATGTCCATCGCTCCTTGGGTGAGCAGTATAGCTTCTTGACCTGATGGACGCTCGCACGCAGTGCGTCGCGCTTGAAATCTTCAAGGTCGGCGACTATATAGTCACCATCCCACCTGCCCCCATTCTCGAAGTGGTAACCCAGAAACACACCGGGTTTGCTCGTGGGAGAGAATTTGCTGGGGCGCTGGTAGGACGATAGGCGTTGATCCATGTCTGGTCCTTGGAGGGATCCAGGTCGATCGTCGTCTCCATCGTCGATCCACTCGAGATAACCATCATCATCGAATCCAACTTCGACTTCGACCAAGCCATCATCTCCAGGCGCAGGTACGGCATATTCCTCACCATCGCCGAGTACGACTTCATCTTTCTGACTACGTCGGGTTTGTTTTCGTGCCGGCGTGGGATAGAAGTCTACAAGACATCCGAATGGGAGAACCTGACCGTCAAATTCGGCACCATTAAATCGTAGCGAATACGCACTTTGTCCTTCGCGTAACTCGATGTTGCGAGCATGACAAAAGTGCTTGCACGCATAAGGCCAGAATTTGGCGCTCAGTCCCGCTTGTCGAAGCGCCACTCGTGCGCCATGAAGGACAAGCTTCACCTTGCTCTCGGCAATGGCATTAGTGCGAGGCATGCCAGGAGTGGAATGTTTTACAGAGATGCCGACTCTTTTGCAGGTCGATATGAACTCACGGGCTTTATCGCAGTAGATTTCCCGGATCGCAGACGGTGCATACCTTCTCTCCACATCCATGGAGAACGAGTTCACATCTTGAAGGTCGCCGAAGACCTGCTGGAACGCTCGAAGCGTGTCGGCATTCGTCCTCCCCTTGACGGGAACACTCTCTAACCACTCGGTCGCTAGATCATAGAAGACAACAGCATCTGTTTCCCCATTATTCCCACGATTGCCAAGCCCGTGCAACACCATAGTATCGATGGTGACGTGCTCGCCAAATTTCTCAAACCCTTTATCGCGTGGTGAGTCTTGGCGAAACGATTTAACGTTTTCCATCTTTGCACGTTGGCATGCATCGCAGTAGGGATTCTTAGGTAGATGGGTCATAAGGTGACGGATGGACTTAGCCTCCTCCCTCAGATCGCGCGCTCTCGGTTCATCGGGCGGCGACCGATGCTTAGGCTTGCTAGGCACCTTCTTGATATCGTCAGGTGCACTTTTCTGGGCACTCTTAGCACCAGGCATATCAAGATCGAGCTCACCAATGTCGTCTAGCTCGCCCACAGGTTCTTCACCCGCAGCCACGATTTTCTCGTGAATAATGATCGGTGCTGGGAGTGCCGGATACACACGAGGGAGATCAGGTCGACCCGCGACTACCTGGGTTTCGCTCGGAGCGAGGTAGGGGATGTTATTGATAACATCAATCTTGAGTTGTCTCCCTTTGGGATCAAAGAATATCGGATCACAAAAGGGTTCCCAGATAAATCGGTAACCAAGCTCCTTGCATCGTTTCCCTAGGGAAAGAAGACTTGGTGTGCTCTCCAGCACATAAGCTTCAATCAGCTCATCGAGGCCGTCAATGCGCATATGGGCAACACCTTTGGTGTTAGTTTTCCCATTGGCGGTCCTAAGGCTGATCTTAGCATTCTGAACTATCAGGTCCCTTTCTTCGCGGGACAGATCACCGAGACCAATAAGGTCTATACCGCAACCGGAGTCGAGCATTAGTCTCCGGACCCTCTTAATAGACTTGACAGCAGCAGCAAAGACCTCGCAAGCGCTCCGCTGAGAAAGCGTGAGCTCAAGAACACAAGCATCATTACCTAGCGTTTTGGCATCAACGTCATCGAGCAAAACCTGCTCTCTCCAAAGCACAGCCTTCATGTGCGCCCTTCGCCTCTCGCGAGCACTATTCAGACCACGGATATCTTCCGGCCACGAATAGTTCAAATTCCTCTCGCGATTGACGGGACCGAAGTTTGGCTCCGGGAAAGAAGACTCTATCACGCGGGTCTCAGTATTCCCAAACGACACTGTCTTCCGCTTGACTGACGGACATGCCATATCGAATGATGCAACGCAAGCGAAGGCGAAGTCTCCATAGGAGGATGCTGTCATTGCCTGAGGGTTGCGGCACGCCCCTCTCAAAAATCCGAGGGCGTGGGCGCCGGGCTGTCAACCCGCCTTGAGTCGGCGCGGGCTCAGCAGGCGCAGGAGCGGCAGCAGGGGTGCTCTCAGCTGGGGCACCCGGCTTCACATGCTTATAAGGACACTTGTCTCCTCTCGAGCAAGTGCCTCGTGCAAAATAGAAGCAAATACCAGACTCCTTTGAAATCGGTGATTGCGATCGAGGCGGGAAACCCTTCGGCGAGGAGCTTCTTCCCTTCAGGTTATGGGAGAACTTGCATCCGCTTCCTCGCGTGCATCTGCCTTTCTTGAAATCGTAGCAGATTTCCCGTCCTCGCGGGGATCGCGACATTGGGCGAGTCGGTGCGGGAGCTGCTCGTCCCGGACCGCGGGAATATCGTCTTGGCGATCCGCGTCGCGGGGAGGATCGTCTGGGTGACGAGCGCCTCGGCGAGCTCCTTCGGTACGGACTCCCCCTTCTGGAGTCACGACGCCCAGGCGATCTTGACCCCCTTTGACCTCGGGATGAAGATCTGCGCGGGCTGCCGTGCGCAGGTGCAGCGTATCGTCTCTGCGCAGAAGTAGACCTCGTAGCGGTGTACATCTTCTCCTGATTGCGTCGTCGGCGCCAAGTTGTAATCGCATTGACGCAGACGGTTCGCAAGTATGCGTAGTTCCGTACGGATACGTCCCTGTCCCATAGCTGCATGTCGAGCTCGAGACAGCGGAACTCACGCACCTGCTCATAAAAGAGAGCGCAGAGAACAGGATCCTCGGGGCGATCGACTGAGATACCAGCGAGAACATGATCCCACCGATTGGAGAAGGCTTCTAACCTTTCCTGCTCGGATCCATGAGTAAACCGATCAATCGTGGTCTTCATCAGGTCAACGAGCTTGAAAGTCGAATCGCCGGTGACATGTGGTCGAAGGAAATCATACAATAGCCACAAGATCTGCCTACTTCCGAGTCGCCGGTTTATCGTATGCATGCGCTCGGTCTCGGTCTGGATCTTATTCTTCAGTGCAATGGATCGGACGCACTCACGGAACGCAGAGTTGCATTCGTTTTCAAGCATTCCGTACTTGCACTCATCGAGGAGATCCTCATACCGCGTACCATCGGGAATCTCAACCCATGATAGGGCGTATCCGGGATCGTAGGCGAATGCATTCGCGACTCGCTCTTTCATATCGACGATCCAGCGTCGCAACTGAGCAGGCTCCGGCTCAGGATCAAGACGAAAGGACTTGCACTTCGCCTTCTTGGCCTCGCTCAGTGATCCATCGCCCTTGGGTCCACCGAATCCCGAATCGTTGGGACCAGGTGGATTCCCAGTCTGTCTCTCAAGACACACGAGACAGATTCTCAAAGGATCTCGGCAACATCCGTTGCAACACGAGAATCGGCAAGAGATGCACGACCGTCGCACGATGGTCGGGAAAGTTCCGGTGCATCGCTCGCACTGGAACGTATCGTTCCCACTCGGCCGACCGGAGGGCCTGATGCTAGGCGGATCAAGGCCGCCATCGGGCGGACCACTCCCGTCAGGAGGGCCACCACCACCAGGCGGACCACCAGGTGGGCCGTCGGGTGGGCCACCACCGCCACCGGGACCAAAACCGGACCCGTGGTGCCCATGTCCTCCGAAGCCACCGCCATATGCACCCCCATTATCGTTGGGGCCATCACCACCAGAATAACCGCCGCCTCCGTTATACGCGGGAGGCGGTCCACCAAATCCGGATGGCGCGGCACTGGGTGCAGGAATGGACGTTCTGGCACTGAAGGTGGGCATCGGGGGCATGGCATCATTGGCCGCTTCATGCTGAAGCGTCGCAGTAACGCTCGTGTTCGGCGCAAGGGTAAAAGTACCGGTCTCACTGTGGAGAATTGGTGCGCCAGCACCGTTGCCAATGAGATTCGATCGGCCAAGCATCGCATCATACCATCGTGACGGTCCCTTCCCTGCCGGGACAGTTCGAGTGTCATAGGAGATTTGGCATGGGAAGGTCGGGCTTGACCTGGGCTCAGGAGCGAAGCTCCGGGCTTCAGGGACGTGTCGGATGTCAGCGCGAGGAGCATCATCGACTTGAAATGGCCTGAGGCTCGGAGTCTGACCGGAAGTCGCTCCGGCGGCATTTGCGGAAGGAACGGCCTGATTCGGCGATCTTCCTGAAAAACACGCCGACGTTTGACCGAAATCATGTCGGATGGGCTCAACAGGATTATTTTGCCCACGACTTTCGGCAGGTTGTTCGTCAGCGACTCGTTGCTGCGCTCGCCTCAGAATTTCATCGAGATTGATTCCACTCGTCTGAGAGTGAACCGTTGAGGCCTTTTCAGCAGGCGCAGCATTGCATCCCGGCGGAGAGCCATGATCGATCGGACCCAACAGGGAAGACCTCGGAATGGCCGTAGTCGGTCCGCCAGGGAATAGAGCACCTGGAACTGGCGGCAGGTCCGCAGGGCGTGGAATATCCCCACCATGGTCACTGATATCGAAGAACTGCGTTCGTTCTGGACGCGAAGGCGTCGATCTATCAGAACCGCCTCTGCGGACATGAGCGTTCTCGAGGTGCTGGATTCGAGCAGTCAGCTGATCGATATGAGCTCGGTTACTCTCCTTATGATCGTAGAGAGCGCGACTCATCTCGGATCTGATGACTTCGATGCGGTGAGTAGCATTCTGCTCCACAGCAGCAACGCGCGCTTCGGCATTAGAGATATTGATCTGAATCTGCCGCAGCGCGTCTGGGTACTGCTTGATGTGGCGGATCGTCTCGGCAAGCTGCATGGATAGCGATCCAGCACGCTTTTCGTTGAACTGATGGATCCGCTCATCGAACTCAATAAGTCGATCGTTGATCGTCGAGGTGAGCTTCGCAAAATGATCTTCAAGCGTCTCGTGATCAGAAATCCGCCTCTCGCGGAAAGAGTCCTGAAACTGCATGAACAGCTCACGCTCTTTCCTCAATTCGGCCTGAAGAAGCTCCCACATGTCTCGGATCTTGCTCTCAAGCGCTTCGGTGATATCCGAGACGCCGTTCCTCAGTATATCGAGGTCGGCCTGGGTGTTGGTCACACCCTGCGCGATCGCCAGAATATCGGTGGCGATGCGCGCGGATGCTTCCGACCCAATGGCTTCATCGACCAGGGCCCTGACAGCACAGGGTCCGGTATGCCACCCGCCGTTATCGATGGCGGGGGCGGCACCACCATGACCCGCCGCGGTAATCGTTGCGACGGAATCATGGGGTGCACCCGGATGCTCGCTCATGGGCTCATCGGGGAGCGAGGCTCCACCGCGGCCAGCCACCGGCCCGTAGGAATCGGGGCGCGGTGGGCGGAAGGACGCCGGGTCCGATATCGGTGGACCACGGCCGTCCGGCCCGGACCCAAAAAGGGCCCGAGCGCCCTCTGGATCCCCGCGAAGGGACAGAGGACAAGCTGAAAGATCGGTCGGAAGAGGAGTAGGTGCAGAAGCAGCAGGAGCAGCGGACGCAGAAAAGGCAGGCAACAAAGGCAAAGCACGAGCAGTGGCAGAAGCGGGCAGCATGCCGGCGGGCATCGTGCCAGGCGTTGCGAAAGCAGCAGCAGCAGAGCATGGCAAAGGCGGCGCATGGTGCTGAGCTCTCTGATCGTCCTCAGCAGGCGGCGAAGCAAGCAGAGCAAGCGAGCGAAGCGTGCGAGGCGAGATGCGCCGGCAGCAGCAGCGCCCGCAGGTCTTCAGGATCGACACTTCGGAGGAGGAGCCCCAGGCGCGACGCCGGCAGCAGCCCCAGGCACAGACGCCCTTCCGGCTCAACAACGTGCCGATCTGGGTCTCTTCCGACAGCGAC